GTAGTTATTATTCCAGCAAGTGGCGAATTACTAACAAGCATTAAGGCATTAAGTTTTGGCGCACATAGCCCGCTTTTAAGGACGGCCACAGATGTTATCGCTTGTTAGCATTCTCGGCGTTTTTTTCTAGTTTATCTAGACGCTGAGGACAAACGTGCCGAGCCTATTAATTTCGCATGCAGCATAGCATTAATAACAAATAAGCTATGTACTGACTTATAAAAAGCGCACACATACTTTTGTTTAGTCGCCTCGTTTGTTGGCTTTGGTGTTGTGGCGGTGCGGGTAGGTAAGCACAAAAATGCCGGCGGATCAGCAGACAAGGCTTAATAGACAGTTTTCGGGCAAAAGTTGCGTTTTGTTGTTGCTTTTAGTTTTGTTTTGATCACTCGCCAACCGGCTATATATGTATGTGTAATATTCGAGCGGAATTTATTTTTGTTGTTAATATCGCGTAGATATTTATTGCTGATTTGTAAGCGGATTTTATTGGCAAATGATTTATTTATGAATGACTTGATTTAGGTTGACAAAGTTGTTGCAAACGCGTAAAAATAATGAAATGTGCAGTAAATAAAATTAACACAAAACAAGTAAGGAAGGACTAAGTTCGAGTATAGCTGAACGTTTTATACTCTTGCAACTTTCCAGGATCCAAACCGGGAAATTATTTTAGGTGTTGGCAAAACTTAATATTAAACAAGTAAGGAAGTTCTAAGTTGGGGTGTAACCGATCATTTTATACTCTCAAAACTTGCAAGGATCAAAGCCGGTAAAATACCTTCAGGTGTTTGCCAAATTGTATATTAAAGGAAGTATTGATTCAACCCATTTTTGATACAAAAACATAATATTATGGAGAGTTTAATTTATTTATTTTATTATATGAATTTCAATTATATATCTTACACATAGGCCGATATTTTCGGTAAAAAGTCAACTATTGGCGCTGGTGTCCACATATTCAGTACCTAGGCGCTTGAACAGTTTTGGTTCGATTTAGACAATTTTTGGTCACAAGGTGGCATACTTTAAACGCATTACTCACGCAAAGTTTTATTCCGATATAATCATTGTTGCTTGATTTGCATAGTGGAAAGTGAAATAATCAGACGGATGTTTCGAATTATAACATAGACATATGAAAATAATATTATGAACCGAATTTGGTTGAAATCAGTTAAGCAGATCTTAAGATATGGGGTTTCACCTAAGAGTGTGCGGTGACACGCCCATTGTCTAATTTTGAACGTGGTTCCTATAAAGTCATCTCATACCATCCCAGAGATAAAATTTAATGTCTCTGGCGTGTTTATTGCTGATTTATCGCGCTTTTAGTCGTTTTTAACAGTACCGTTATATGGGAAGTGGGCGAAGTTTTCACCCAATTTCTCTTATTTTCACACTGGTTGCAAAATTTCAGATCGATATTTCAAAAACTGAGCGACTAGTTCGTATATATAAAGACGGACAGACGAGTATCGCTAAATCGACTCAGATCGTCACGCTGATCATTTATATATATACTATATATACATTATAGGCACTCTGACGTTTCTTTTTGGGTATTATAAACATCGTGGCAAACTTAATATACCCTGTTCAGGGTAAAAATATAGTTGCAAAAGAAAGACTAAGCTCCAATTGTTGTAGGTATTTCAGTAGAAAAATTAATGAATTTCGGTAAATTTCCTAAGCCACTACATCAAGAGGTGAGCATACTAAAAAGATCGTAAACGTCAGATATGCACTCGACACCTGGATATTACCTTTCAAGGGCAAGGTAAGACAAAGAAGTCAAAAAGATCTACATGTGGTCTCTATACTTGCCAAAGAAAGAGAGACCAACAATGGCGAGCATTAAATAGAAATAAAATTGTATAAGGTGCGTGCACTCGCCTCAAATGAATAATTTATGCGCGCGTAGTAGCTGTGCACCAATTAAACATTGTGGCATTTTAATAAACACAATATTAGGAAAGGCAAAAACAAAAATAAAACACGGAGATCTATGTTATGCGACTGCAAAAAAGAAAAGCCATAAATAATAATGATACCGACAATTGACAATTGCAACTCTATGCACTACAAGGTGAAGCAATGTCGGGAATTTATTCGCTCTAAGCTCATGAATGAGCGCATATAAAAGAAGTGAACACCAAGTTAACAGTTATTTATAGGCATGCAACTTTGAGTATGTGGTGTAAAGTATTTGTAATGAGCTCTGGATTCATTAATTCATTCTTAATAAGCAGTGCGCACAACAAATGTGCGAAAGAGGCATTTACAACTACAACAACATAACATAAATCAAATCATTACAGATTATGGTGACATTAGTTGAGTTCAGCGAGCAGCAGTGCTTCACTCTAGTGCTGAACTGACAAATGTCTTTGACATTTATTGCAAAACTGTCTGAATAGCGACCTGGCGGTATAAGTATGTTATAAAAAAAATTATGTTGATTCGATCCATAAGAGTTGTGGAGATCCTCTGTTATCTCTTTAATGCCAAGAATACGAATTTCAAGCACAATTACTTTAACATCCTTGGTGTTATAGTCGTTAATAGAGGTTAATGGACGATTCGAATGAGGCAAATTTTCGTTTAACTCACGATCTTCATTGAATGCTTGTACCAATCAAATACTTGTGTTCGTGATAAAGTAGACTCGCCAAAACACTTCCGCAACATTTTCGAAACACAAAGTCTCTAGTAAAGTCGTTGTTCAAGTTTTTTTTTTCTAAAGTAAAAATCACCAGACAAACTCTTCGCGTCGTAAACAAACACCTGCCAAACACAAAATAACTAACAAGTGGAGATCAAACTTCACACGAACATAAAAAAGGTTGTCCCAATTAAAAAAGAATATTTATTGATACAGAAGATTAAATGAACCTGTCCGGGTCAAATTTGATCTTGAGTATATAATACATGATTTTATGAAAATTAAATATTTCACGTAGCAGAAACAGACCCGGAGGCTTGACGTTGCATATTGAAGAACTATCAGGTTTTAAATTCTTCTAATGTACATATATTATATTTGACAAATTTTTGGCTGTATGGTGTGTAGAAAGGCAAATTGCTCTATTTACTTTATTTACAATTGTCTGCCTTGAAAAGTTGATAATATATAAGTACTCGACCAAAGCATGTTGCCTGCCAAGTAACGTAACTATCCGTCTAGCGATGTTGTTGGTGAAATAATTGACAGTGACAACAGTTGAAAGTCAGCTGTGATTTATTTTACTTAACTGAGTATTATGTATTGTATATTATAGCATTATTTAGCATTATTATTTCGTTTAATGTGTTCAAATGGCGTTGTTTAATCGATTTAACTAAGACAGCATTTATTTCAATTATCTAAATAAATAAGTATTTTAAAGTCGTCGAAATCAGAAGCAATTAAACTTTAAACACAATGCAGTTAAAATAAAAAGAAATATAAATGCATAAGTATTTATAGCGGTGTTAAGTGATTATTGTGGAGCTAAGCTAAAATAAAAGTTATCTAACCCATGGAATGATCGCAATACTACGGAAATTATTCCTAAGCTTTGGGAAGTTATCGTTGACTTCATTTAAAAGCTCTTTCTACAGAGAATGTAAATGAACTTTTTCTCTTTTAAGTTCTCTGGTTTCTACTTGTGTTAGATGGAACATCTCCGCTCCTCCACCTATCATTCGCGTCATAGAACCAATCAAAGTACAAGTATTATGGCGGTATTCTAGTCTAGAAATTTGGAAAAAAATTCATTTAATATTTCTATTGTCGATATCCAACAATAAATATTGCAAGAACCTTTCAAAATTCAAATTACTTTCATAAGTTATAGCCGTTTTACTGTCGTGGCAACTAGAACGGATTGAGCGGACGACTGCCTGAAACTTAACATCAAACTTTAAACGTCTTTTACTCGAAACTTGTTTTTTCTAAGCAGTCGGAAAGACATTTCAAACTCTATTCAATCGATTTACTTTAAGTCTGAAATAAATATTCTTTAGATATCTCTTAATATTATGAACCAACACAAACTTCTAATATGTAATATGTATATGTATATAAAAATTCCAGAAAGTTAGAACAATTGTGGAAAGTTTGAATAGCCTACAATTTATAATGATATTGATATCAATTAAGAACCCGTCATTGTTTTATTTTTCAAATGACCACAAGGATAGAAATCTCTCCTCTACTTCAAGGACGCATAACTTTATGAAAATTATTATTTTTTTTTACATTTTTTATTTGTACGCTTGAAATATGAATATACAAACTTCGGTTGCACCGGTTCGGTTGTTAAAATACCCTTCACAAACACAAAAGATTACATACAAGAACTTGATTTTGAACGGTCAGTTTGCAGTGTAGCTATATGCTATAGTGATTCGATCTGAACAATCTGATTCTTATTTAGATAGTGCTTTAGACAAAAACTTAGGCTTAATTTCGTGAAGATATCTTGTCAAATGAAAAATTGTTCCATACAAGGACATAGTTTTGATAGTTCAGTTTGTATGGCAGCTATATGCTATAGTAATCTGAAATCCGATAAATGAGCAGCTCCTTGGAACAAAAGAACGTGTAGAAAACTTCAGATCGATATCTCATAAACTGAGGGACTTGTTCGCGTAAGTACAGTCAGACGGACAGACGATCATAGCTAAATCGACTCAGCTGGTCATGCTGATATTTTATACATACATATATTTTGTAGGGTGTAGGGTCCGACATTTCCTTTTGGATTTTACAAACTTCGTGATGAACTTAATATACGCTGATATGAAATTATTGTCAGGTCTCTGACTTGAAACCTGACAAGTAGAGATTACATCATTAACGAAATGCAGTACTATTAGTTTAGAAATATTTATGACTATTTATTAAAGGTATTTATATGTTTATATTTATTAAAAAGATCATAGCTTATAATTGTTGTAATAAAAGAGTACAGTGACAAAAACAATGCATACACATATACATATTTAATAGATCATTTTGAGAGCTTCACCGCCGCGAAAATGCCCAATCCAGTGAGCGCTAAAACAAAGCCTACAGCTGAAATTAATTTCAATGCGCTCACCTCCAGTAACATACCGTTATATGCATGCTCTCCACCTGCTTTAATGACTGCATTTTGACTCGCATTGCTTGAGGAATCTATAAGCTCCACGGCCTCACCATTTGGTACCATAACTCTAAAGGCAATGCGAGATATTTCCGATACTTCGCTGCCATGAGTGATACTCCGTTGGTTTTTCACATCTACCACTGCATTGCGTTTACGACGCCGCAAATTGGTCACGGCGCTGCAATTGCTAGCATCCACATGGCAGTCGCGCTCTTCTAAACAACCAGTAATGCGCATGGATAAGACGAGTTCATCGCCGCTGCGCATGCCTTGAAACATAACTGCTTTGAAGCTCAAACGATGGCCAAGCGGTGGATCGTAACTCGGAGGCTGTGTGCAAACGCTTTGCATGGATGGATTGATGCAACCGCGTGATGTGACTAGAGCAACGTTGTTGAGCAGTTCACCGGTTGGGGAAATGCGTTGCACATACACATCCGTTAACTTTGTGTAATTCCAACCTGTGGGTTGTTGAAAGTTGTGCTTATACTATACCTATATTTGAAATATTAAATCTCCCGCTTACCATCGCCAGCAATCACATGCGCGCGTAACAGCAACTCCTCGCCGAGCAGCACAGCGCTGTGTGTGTCCAAGTTGCGTGTGAAACCTTTAGCGGTACGTCGAAACAGCTCTACTTGCGTTCGAAAGGGTAACTGGGTGCCACCGTGAGCATAGGTGCCCAGACTACGCGCTTGTCTGCAATTGGAATGGCGTTCAGTGACATTTTCTTTTAGCTCAGCGGTGTTTACTTACAACTCATTAGAAATGCTCACTTTAAGCGCATGCATCTTGACCGCCACACGCTCCTGCGTCTTGCAGTGCAGCGTCAGTATGCCATCCGCACTCGTACGCATGCCGCGTATGGTGGGAAAGCGCAAACGCAAACATAAATCATTGCCACAAGCATGTACGCCACACTTTTCAAAATCCTCCGCCGCTATGTCGGTCACAACATAACTGCGCGACAATTTCAATTCACAGCGCTTATCAGTCGAATCGTTATCGACTATCGGCGCTGCACCTATAAAACTGTCCACTTTGAGCACAGCACGAAAGTAGCCGCCACTGTGTTGCATGCAACGCATTTCGTGTACACTCAAACGTAGAGCGTTGGGAGTAGCAGTGGCATCGAGCGTGCTGTCATCCGGCGGCAAGTAGACGGATGCGGGTGTAGATACTGGCGGGTGTGTGGGTAGCTGAAACGGCGGACCCGCCGGCACATTATAGTCGTAGCCCGGTACGGCTGGTTGTAGCGCAACGGGATCGTTAATGCCTGGTGCTTGCGCCGAGGGAAGAATGTCTGGCGGATCAATCACAACAATAGGGTCCGGACGCTTAGTTGTAGTGCTGGTGGTTGTAGTAGTCGTGGTTGGTATGAAAATGGATGTGGGACGTGGATAAAAGTAACCGGCGCTGTAGAAATGTGAGACATCAGAAATTTCTTGCTAAAATAATTTTTTTACTCCAAAAGCTTACATGATTGTAAGTAAGTATGATTTTAACCTTTCTAGTAGACCGTCTTATTTGCGTTTTTTGTAAGAAGCAAAATAGTATGTAAGTTCTGAACAGAAATATGGTATATAACGTTTAGAAAAAAATTGTGGAATTGAGGTTTTTTCATATTTGGCAAATGGATTCTTGTTATATATATCGGTTATATTTATAAATTTTTGGTATAACTAGGTAACTAACAGTACCTAGCCTTGGGTAAGATCTTAAAAAAAATATATTCCGCATTTTTGCCACACCTAAGGAAAGCCATAGTGTGGTTTAATGAATGTTGTCATATGATCCTCAAATATACTCTTACAAGTTGTGGTTTAACCTACCTACCAGAAAACTACTATACCGCGACCTTCCGATAGACAATCACGACCAATGAAACTAACTGAAGAAGTGATTGAAAAAGTGGATACAAATATTTAGTGTTGCAAATAAAGATTTGTAGAGAACGATTACCAGAAGACTTAAGTAAACATTTTGTTCAACAATTACCGTCTCATTGTTCGTAATTCAGTTTGTTTCTATAACGATTAAACTGACTATAGTGTTTAAGATCAAAATGGACTGAATGAATGTGAAAAGGTTTATTGAAGATTAATTATAATCGTCTGCTCTCACACTTTTCGAGAAGCACTTGACTTAATTGCTTTAAATAATTTCGAATCTAGTTTCTAATAACTTAGCGTTCACTTACCCATAACTAGGTGGTCGCTTCGATGCCTCTAAATTTGGACGATCTTCTTCCGGCGTCAAATACTGATTTTGCAATGGAATAAAATTAATTCTGCCACCACTCTTGGCGCCACGATTCTCCACAATCTCGGGCAGCGTGAACTCGGTAGTGGAGGAAGGTCGCACTGGCGCTACGGGTGAATGTGTCGATTGTGGCGGTGCAGCTGGTGTAGGAGTGGGAACCGCTGGTGACACTGGATATAAACTAGGCACGGCGGGTTGTGGTGGCGCTACAGGATATGTAGAGAACTGTTGTTGCTGCTGCTGTGGGTAGTAGTCATAGTTGTCTGCGAAGAAATGTGAAATGTCTGCTTCAACGACGACACAAAAAAAAATAGTAAGCGCGATGTGGTTGATTCTGGAAGTCATTTCGTTATTTAGACTTTAGTTAAACTAATGACCTTTTCATGCCAACACTGGTTTTTATACACAAAACGAAATTTAAAATCAACGAATTTCAAAACCACGATTTTTGTTTTGATTTTGGGTATTGCCTTTTTGTTGCATGTAAAAATTTACTTTCATTTACGATTTACGCACTGGACGCATGTCTAAGATTAAGGCAACCCTGCTAACGTTGTGGCGCGCTGAACGCACGTTTTTCGTGTTACACAGCGTATGCGCATCTTTTTTGAAAAAGCTTCGTTCACCGCATTTTATTGCGCTTTCTTTTGACACGATTTTTGTTGCCTGGTAGTTACAAATGTTGTGAGTGCCATTAATTGTTGAGAGAGGTTAGTATGACATTGACTTAATTTTGTCATTCTTACTAATCGAATCGCTTCTTGGAGATTATAGAGGAAAATTTTTGTTGTTGTTTCAAACATATTTTTTAAATAAAATTATGTTGAATTTTTGTTAAAAAGCTGAGACAAGTGTATTCCATCTAAGAGCATATAATATATAAGAGTGTTATTTTAGACATGTGGTTTTCAAAAAGAAATAAAACACATATAATTAAATGTTATAGTGAAGAATTTAGCTTTATTATAAAGATAAGGGCTTGTCATTATGTTTTGAAAATAATTTGTAGCAAGTGAGAAGCCCAATTTTTGCAGCAACTCGAATATTCACTTCCAAGGCGTCAATCGTCTCGAACTTATCTGCGTAAACAAGCGACTTCACATAACCAAAGGAAAACTAATACAGCAGTGTTAAATCGCACGCGAGGTAATGTGCTCACCAAAAGTTTCTTTCAATAAATTAATTGTTTCGTTGCCTGTATGAACAAAATGTCAACTTGTTTTGTTAGAACCAAAGGTTTTCCACATCAACATCCTCCAATTTAGCCACGTCGTTAATAATGGCTCTATAGCCTTCCCAATTAGCTGTAAAATTATGGCCAGCTTCATTTTTGAAGAAATATGGATCAATGATGCCCTCTACCCATAGAGCACACCAGCATCTAAGCAATTTTTCTTTATATATAGTACAACAATTATTTCAGCCCAAATATTAGCCTTGAACTCGTCAATGATCCGAGAATTGCTGGCGTCTACTTTGCTATTCAAATAACCTTAAAAAAAAATTTTAGGCGTACTTTCCGCCCTAGTCGATGGGGCTATAATTAGTCATTATCTAATTAGCATTTATGGGGTTCGCTGGATACCAATTAAGGTGGAAGATATAATAGCCTCGATACTTTCATCTAACTTTCGCAAGATTAAAGTTGAAATCTACGCATATCATACCATCAGTCAACCGGGAGAAAAAGCTGAAAGCGAAATTTGTCACTTCAAAGCTTTGTCCATATATGTATGAGGGCTTTGTACCATCCTTAGGGGATGTTAGCTATCACAAAGGACCGGTGTACAACTGCCCTAACTTAATAACCAGTCTAGCCCAACTTACTCACTAAAATATGCTAATTTTTGACTTTACTTCATATTTGAATTAAAAAAACTATTTTTGAGTTGACATATAGGTATGTAGTTATGTACATATTTGCTTTTATTTATTTTAAAACTCTAGAGATTTAATTAACAATGCCTGCACGAAGCCGCTTATACAAATTACCGAGTATTTGAGAGGTTAACGAATTTCCAAGATTTAACTTGTCACTGCAGCATACCAAACAAATCACTTTTGCGTTGACATCTCGTTTACTATGACAACTACACACTAATGACAGCTCTCTTATGAACCAGCAGCACGGTGCGCTACTTAAGGCTAAAGTGGCTGGAAGCGATGCTCCTCGTAGGTTGAAAAAGAGTAAGTGCGTTACTAAATTGGTATGTTACACGCACACACACGTGTATATACATGTAGATGTTCAACAATCACAGCCAATAGTAGGCACCAATATTGCTTTGGTCATGTCATCATTATAGTTTTCATAGATACTGTTGCATGCCACCAGCTGTGCCGCACGCGCACCACAACAACCGACCAACATTCATTTGTTGTCCATTTTCGTCTTTACCAATCAATGCACGATAAATCCTCGAATTGCGTCACCATAAATGGGCGCCACAACGACTTGTACATCTCAGGCATCCGGTAAGGGTATGCGCTATGCATTGCAATCACAACAACAATGGCAATCAGCCAACAACGCTTAATAATATTTGTTTTGTACATTCATTAGTTCATTTATGATTATTTTACATTAGTTTCATAATTTCGCAATGTATCATTTTTAATGACATCACCTCCTTCCCTCTTGTCAAGTGTTGTCAACAAGAAAGCAACTTGTCTTTCGGATTTCTTTTGCGGCACATGTCGTCTGACATTTGTGCGTGCGTATGCGTTTTTTCTTTAACGTCTATAGCATGTCAACGTAATAATGTCATTACGGCCACAAGTATGTAAGAGGGTGGTCCGATACGTATTACATTATACCTAGCTGACAAATTTTGGGTACTTTTAGATCGATAGATTTGACCCAGCGATGAACTTATTTTCTTAACGCGACTGAAAAATACGTTTTTTTAAGGTCTGCAAAGTAGGCGGAGGTGTGAGCTGGTCTTAGTGGAAGAATACTTTTTTATTCTCCAAATTCGATATAGTAAATCTCTTTGCCCATTATGCCCTTGCTCAGGTAGTCGATGTTGATTACACCTTATAAATCCCAGAAACCCGATTCCATCACCTTTCCGCCCGACAGGACAATGTTCCCCTACTTCGGAACAGGTTCTTCGGGTGAAGTACATTGATTGTTCCTTGTTTCGTATATGGCTACAAAATAATACAGAAACAGCTTCAGATTCCATGTAAACATCTTCAAACATTTTTGTGATGTGGTATCACGTAACGCCACACTAATCGCGCCGAAAGCTTTGTTATGCCCAATATTTTATGTAGCTACCTCGCGCAGCTTCAATCGGTGGTCTACCAATACTGTATAGTAGATTTTGTTCGTCTGACCGATATGGTCCTTTCCCATTTTTCTAAAGTACCCGAATACGCCCGCTTCTACATCCGGTAGAAACCAAACTAGAAAGCCACCTAGGTGAATATTCTACACAATAGTAAACTTTTCTTGCGATAGTGACAAAATCGGGTGGTGAGGGTAAGCACTTATCGGAACTCCCTCGTAAGTTCATAAAAGAAAATAAAAGCCAAGCAATTGAAAGGAGACATTGAAATAGGTATACGTACGATGACTGTCCGCACTACAGAAATAATTATGTTTCTCCTATAAACCAAAAAAGTGTACAACTTATAAACTGCAGGAATATTTAATTATATACTAGCTACTAATTAGTGACTGATAATTTTAAGTGACTGTACATTATTCTCCTTTCGAGCATTTTTGTGAGTCTACTACGAGTCGTAGACTACGACAGACCAATAGGTAACCAACATGCCACGCGTTGTTAAGATAAGAACAGCTTGTACTGAAAAAAGAATAGCAATTTTGACAGACTGAATGGTAAAACGCTCCCCGATTTTCCATCCAAACATAAAATATATCGTAAAATGTAAACCATAAAATTTGATCCGAACTTGTTTACTTTTGGTATTTTTAGACAAATAAAGCCGCCGTTCCAAAGGTCTAACAAAGGCACAAAAGCCACTTAATATTAAAACTGAGTTTTCAAATTAAAAATAAGCTCTTTGAAATGTATTAATAAATTGGTATTTTTCCTTTACAGCTATAAGATGAACAATGATAATTTTGGCTTTCCCTCGCATAGCGAACGGCTCCTGCAGGCGCAGAATCGACGTAAATTCAGTTTTCCCGCTACCTTAAGCTCAGCTTCTCTATTGGAGGTGAATCAGAATATAACACGTCGACGCTTTAGCAATGTGAGTGATGTTGTCACGAGAAAATTGTCCTACACGATCGGCTGGAAGGCAACGCAAATACCCACACAAGATATCATATCACAGGTAAGTGTAAGCCCAAAAAAGCTTCCAATAAAGAATCAAATTTTAAAATACACATAGGGACGTTGTATATGCGGTCAGTACATACGAAGACGTCTGCGTCGTTCTGGATTGTTCAATAAAAAGTTGGGCTTTCAACGCATACGCAGTATACTCGGCACTTCGTCGATGGAGATAGTACGAGAGGTATTCCCAGCTGTGATGGTGGTAAGTGGATTCTATTGACATTACATCCATACTTTCTCTATATACTCGTCACATGATTCCTTTCACAGCTCGGCGACGAGTTAGAGCGCATGCACCCGCGTATCTACACAGGTGTTGCAAGACAAATTTGTCGCGCTCCAGGCGGTGAATTTCATTCAGCCGAAACGATTACATTGCTTTTAGGTGCCGTAGGTCGTGATCTGTTCCGTTCTGAAATCACATGGAGTAAAGTTATATCCCTATTTGCTATTGCCGGTGGACTGTCGGTAGATTTCGTGCGCCAAGGTCATCCCGAATATGTACCAAAATTGGTAGATGGTGTGTCGGAGGTGATTGAAGATGAATTAGTATCGTGGATTAATGAAAATGGCGGTTGGGTAAGTGCTTCATATGTAGTTTAAGTGTCTGAAATGTTTTAACTTTACTAATGTTCTTACTTGATTTGCTGTTTCATTTTGATTTCGCCGATGGCAATGTTTTACCTATGAGAGAAAATTTTTTTTTATTGCATCGATTCGGACGTAAATACGCAGATCCAGATCATTTTCTTTTTCTGATATGTTCCTTGCTGATTCATCTGAATTATACCTTAATACCGTTTATATCATGTAAGACAGTTTCAAATAGTAGTTTCAGTTGATTCCTAAAAACTAAAAGTCGATTGGAGTCGTCTTCCCTGTTTGTCTGACAAATACTTGAGGAATGTTAAATGTGCTGAAATCGAATTTAATAAATTTTATCCACTGTACATATGTCTCTCCCTCTACATGCCCATCAGTCCGTCTGTATAAAGCGAACTAGTTCCTCAGTTTTTGAGATATCGATTGAAATTTTGCGTATGTTCTTTTCTTCCTAAGAATAAAAAGAAAGAAAGGAATAAAAAGAAGCCATATTGTGCCAAGTCAGAACTATAAGGTGGATGTCTCATCAAATCCATGTTTTGAATGTTGCTGAGTTAATCCACGTCAAAAGTTGTTAAAACTAGTTGCGCGAAAATGTTCGATTTAATTTTATTTTTCGGCCGAGATTAATATTTTAAGTTACTGTAATTAACACAAATAGCGCTCGTATATCAAAACGTTCTGAGTATGTATAACATCAAAAATATCATACTTTACGATAAAGTTTTGAGTTGCCAGAGTGCAACACTAGGGTTGCCAAATCCTGCAATATGAAAGGCAACCTACGTAGTTACACAGTTCATTTAGCTTTTCCATTAAATTGTAAATACTGAAAGCACAGCCAAGATGACTATGACCAGCAATAGAAAACTGTTGTAGTTTGTTTTATATAACGGCCTTGATTGTCATATTCCACACATCAATATTCAATGAAACATTATGCTACACATATTTATCCACCATTAATACTTTCAATAATTTCCTTTTTCTTCAATTTGCAGCTTGGCCTCAACACACACGTATTGCCGGTGACAAGTAATTTTAGCCCCTTGGAATGGACGACCATCATTATCGGCTGCATTTTCGGTTTATTTGTCTTATATATGCTATTAAGATTCATATTTTTCTATATAGTTCCAAAAGTGTATCACCGTCTGACATCATAGCTAAGTTGTAGCTAAGTAATTTCCTATTTTTATGTATGAGTATGTGCCCATATTTCACTAATTTAGTTTTAATTATACTAAACTATTATAAAATTGTAATTTAGCAAGAGATAAATAAATTTAATTATTTGTTTTTTATATTATATTTAACGTTATAAATGACTTTTTTAATGGTATAAAATGTTAACAAATAAAATATGTATATATTCCCACTAGAATTGCGATAATTCTCTACGAAATAACGCCACATGTTTAAGATTTTGTGGTCAGGCGAGATATAGATTAGTTTAATAACAAAGCTATAAAACTTGTCACCACCCATTTGTAAATACATTTTCATATTATACAAAATATCCGACCCACTTGAGCCAAATATGGTGATAGCAATACTTTCATAACACAATCAGCTTCTCTTACTTTTAAATATATATACATTTCAAGAGTTAAGGAAGATTTTAAAATCAATTTACTATAAAGTGCACATTTGAACTGTCTTCCAAAAGCATAGTGAAGGTGTAATGAGGTCAACTATGGATATTTATCGATAATTTTATACTAGAGCTCTTGGTATTCGACTAAATGAATTAAGCGGATAGGGCATAATTCGAATAATACTCACAGCAGGGCACTATTCGAGTAGTCGCCGTAGAACGGCTATTCGCGTATTATTCGGTTAATATTCATACGAACGGTTACAAACCGGATATTCGAATAATCAGTTTTCGTGTTATTCGAATAATTTTAAGAGCCCTACTTTATAACGTATCACCGTCCGTCAAAGTATCCATTAAATGAAGCTAAAATGTTTCGTTTGATATTGTATGATTCATTACAGAAAAAGAATGTTATCGAAAAATAACTTTCAACAGACCTAATACAATAAACAAGTAAGGAAGGGCTAAGTTCGGATGTAACCGAACATTTTATACTCTCGCAAAGTCAAATGGTATACTCGTTTGAGATTTCTTTGTGGATTGGCTGATATTTTCGGTGGAAGGTCAACTATAGGCACTGGGGTCCACATACTTAGTACTTAGGGGCTTGAACAGTTTTGGTTCGATTTAGACAATTTTTGGTCACAAGGTAGCATACTTTAAACGTATTATTCACGCAAAGTTTTACCCCGATATAATCATTGTTGCTTGATATGCATAGTGGAAAGTGAAAGAATCAGATGGAATTTAAAATGGTGTTATATGGGAAGTAGGCGTGGTTGTAGTCCGATTTCGCCCATTTTCGCACTATAATAGAAATATGAGAAGAATGTTACGTACCGAATTTGGTTAAAATCGGTTAAGCAGATCTCAAGATATGGGTTTTCACCTAAAAGTGGGCTGTGCCACGCCCACTGTCTAATTTTGAACACGGTTCCTATAAAGTCATCTCATACCATACCAGAGATAAAATTTAATGTCTCTGGCGTGTTTAGTGCTTGATTTATCGCGCTTTTAGTAGTTTTTAACAGTACCGTTATATGGGGAGTGGGCGGAGTTGCCACCCGATTTCAACTATTTTCACACCGTCAATAGAAGTGCTAAAAAAATTTGCTTCCAGTGAATGTTGTTATTATAACATTAGCGGTTTAAGTGATATGCACATTAAACCTATTAGAGGCGGGACCACGCCCACTTTAAAAAAAAATATTAAACTGCAGATGCCCCTCCCTAATGTGATCCTGTGCACCAAATAACAGTCTTATATCTTATTGCGGAGCTTAGTTATGGTAATTTATTTGATTTTGATTAATGGCGTTTTGTGGGCTTGGCAGTGGTCCGATTACGCCCATCTGCAAAACCGTCTCACGGTACCCAGAAACATGTCTACCAAGTTTCATAAAGATATCTCAATTTTTACTCAAGTTACAGCTTGCACGGACGGACAGACGGACAGACGGACAGACAAACAGACGGACTGACGGACGGACGGACAGACAGTCACCCGGATTTCAACTCGTCTCTTCATCCTGATTATTTATATATATATATAACCCTATATCTAACTCGATTAGTTTTAGGTGATACAAACAACCGTTAGGTGAACAAAACTATTATACTCTGTAGCAACAGGTTGCGAGAGTATAATTAAAGAGAATATGTGTAATTATGAACAAGATCTTTTGAAATAAATACCTTTAATCCACAATTTCATTAAATAATGAATACTGATTTTATAAGCAACAAATTTTATAAAAAAAAAAATTTTTGTTTTGTAAACTCAACATATTTTTCCCGCCTTTACTACTTACATACAACAGATAAAAATCTGCATATTGCGTTGCATAAGTGAGTAAGATCGGGTTACCCTATATGCTGTTAGAATGATAAGATTTCGTACTAAAATACATTTTTAGACAGTTTTGTGATTTCTTGACTTTGTATTGTTTGAGCGCGCGTAAAATATGGACACCAGCAAATAGATAAAATGTCATATTTACATTTTTTTCCGATATTGTAACAACTTATATGAAAACCGCTGCTGAATCGGAGCTACTCTATTTGTGTAGCGGATGGTCGCGCTGAGCCGCCACAAAGGCAGGATAGACGGTAGAAATTGGTGAAATTGGTGGGGAACTATCTCTATTCTATTGAACTGTCAACAATTGAACAACACTGAAGGACGCAATTACCCAACTTTGACCAATAGGAGAGAAACTCTTTCTCACATCGATAGTGACTGGTCACAAGCTACTGAAGCTTGGTTGGGGGATTCTTAAGAATCCACCATTTAGTCCGAATCTAGCACCTAGTGATTAATACCAGTTCTTGTCTTTGGCGAATGATTCTGCTGTCAACTGTCCCAGGATTTGGCCGATAGGCACTAAGATTTCTATAAGAGTGGCATTAGGAAATTACCTTCAAAATGGCAACAAGTTATGGAACAAACAACAAATAAATTCTTAGATTTTAGATAGACTTTGTATTTCGAAAGTATATATTGTTCTCGGCTTCTTTAATAGTTTATTAGTATAACTAAAACATCTTTCTAATTTCTAAAGAATTATTTTTACTAATTTTATGTACTAAATATATTTGAAATGTAACGTTCATGAGTAGTCTCTAACGGATAAGGAAGTGAGAAAATTAAATTCCGCAAATGGTATGTGTCTTCGCTTTCAACCGGTTTGAGGCATTGCTTACATTCTCTGCTCATACGAAAAGCATTACTAACGCGCCTGCCCACAATTACAGTTAACACTTTCCAACACGCATGATGTTAGCAATTTAAAAGCTCATCAAAGCACACAGCTGATCTGTATTTTCTTTTTATTGAAGCCAACCGATCGTCATATCTGGATATGCTTAATGATTCCAGCGGTCAGAGTATTTTTGTGTTGTCTTGTGTGCGGCGTCAGCTCTCTTGTGCATACACACGAGCAAACAGCGACCTAACGTGACGGCGTTATTAGGCGATGGCGTTAGGTAGCTTAGCTCCAAATCAGTCCAGCCTTCTAGCCCGTTCTGTTCGTGTGTTATGTGCTTGACGCCGGAGCGCTACGCAGCGCAAACGAAAAGTAATCAGCAAGTTAAATAATAAAAAAACTGTGAAATAACGCAAACACAGCGGCTCAATTGACTCGTGTATTTCACAGCGACTTGTGCAAATTTTAATTTTATTATTATCAAATATTTAATACACGTACGCCTACCGCGCTAACCGACCACAGTCGTGACTTTACATATAATACAGCTCAAGTTGTATATTTTCTTAAACGCTTAAATTCTCTGCTTTTCTTTCTATATGAGCTAAAGCAAGAAAGTAGTAAAAAAAAAGAATGAAGTATTGTTGGAATTCGCGGCTTTGACAGTGGATTGGAGCAAAAGCAAAAGTGAATAACAAAAATAAGTAAAACAATTACGATCGGAAGGGTAGACAAACGCGCTATATATTTTATTGTTTGCTTCTCAATATTCTACTTAATCAAAAATCAACGAAATTAAATCGAAAGCAGACGAAAAAAATTTTTTTTTAACTTGAGCTCACGAGCAGTTGGATAGGTCGTCGCCATCGTTGTTCGTGTCGCTGTCGCTGTCGCCGCTACAGCTGAGATCAAAATTAAGATTGAGATCAGTACTGAGCGACCGAGATCATCGCGAAAGTCATCGCGCAGGTAAAACGAGACCGACACAATCGATAGAAATGAGATGGACGCACCAAAGCTTGCTGCTGATTAACTAACAATTCAGTAGAAACAATAGACAAGTGAAAAATAGTGAAGGCTACGGAAAAAAGCAGAGAAAACAAAAAAAAAACACATACGTTGTGGAAAAATAAGGTTGTGAGCACCAAGTACCGCTTGCATATGTACATATGTAGGTATGTATGTGCATAAATAGCTACTCGAGTGCAATAGACAAGCCTTTGCATTTACAACAATAAAGAAAAAATATGTGTGCACTAGTTGGTCATAGAGAATGCGTTGAAAAGGCGAGCGAATATTATATTATTTGTAACAAAGACAAAACTCAACAAAACCAGTAAGGTCGCACCATAAGCAGCAGCTGCCGCTCACCACTCAGGCAAATAAAAAGTACACATAAAACGTAGCAAAGCTGCTCAGCAGCGCGTAACCGTTTATGGTGTCAACAGCTGTTTCAATAAAATACAAACACTTTTAATACGGAATAATTCAACTTCTGAAGCGTTTAAATATTCATTTGCACAGCAACAACAAACAAGTATATGCATCAATCAGCTTTAGACCATTATCAAATCGCATTTAATGCATACCAACAAAAACAATAATAATAAAATCTGCACAAATGCCTTCGCCAAATTTAAAACAACAACAAACACCACCTCCACCGCCACCACCTACACTCTTCCAACAACAACTCTCGTATCCGAATCATCATCAATCGCAACAACAAAAAAGCTATTATACGAAAAATAAGAAATTATCAACGAAATTGAAATCTTCTTCGCTGGACAATGATATATTTCTGCAAAATCGTAAAAACAACAATCAGAGCAGCTCGGATTGGCTTTTGCCACCACATGGTAGTGCAACAATACCACGTGCCGCGTCCACGAATTCATTGGCGAGCACTGTAACAGCTAGCAATTATCAGGAGTATAAAGCGGAAATAATCAATCAGGTGCGTAACATATGGTTAATTCATTTAAAAAAATGAATATTTAATATACGGAAAAAAGTAACGAGCTGTGATCAATTGCGTGACCTTTTTGGTCATATAATATCCAATAAAAGCAACAAAACAATCACATATTTTGCAAAAGTGTACACAGTTTGTCTGTGTGCTTATTTGGATGATATAAAATAAAATCCTTAAACCATACTTACCATCTCTTACGCATATACTTTACATTTGGATCTCATTGCCGAAAGAAAGAAAATGTCTGGGCAATACGGTCTTTTCTACCAAACAGTTTATCACTAACAAGATTATTCTCAAGAATATATTGAATCCAATTCCATATGCTCATATACAAATAAGTGTATGGAATATTCACTATATGGGGGTAATACACTTACTAAGTGGATAACAAATATTTAAACGTCAAAGCTGTTCATTTCAGTTGTTTTGGCATCTGAACCTAACCGAATTAACAAATCAAAATCAACTTATTTCACTAAACTGATAGTTTGATTCGAAAAGTGGTTTGACTACGATTTTCATAAAGTTTGACATAATGAAAACCACACATAATAATTAAACTACAAAAATCTATATTTTACATAGGTAAAACTAAAATATGATACACTTTCGCATTCTCCTTAAAAACAGAAATTGTATATCTAAAAAGCATACATGGATTTTAAATACGATAACAACAGAGTTATGACACGACTTTGACAAACAAACCAATCCCTTCAGTTTGTGTAGACTTCTTCAAAATAAGTAATAGTTTATTTTCTAGTTATTTCAAGAACTGTTCCTTGTTACACAAATATTTTGCTTCAATCTACGATTTTAGCAATGTTATAATCAAATTAAGGAATTTAAGAGAGCAAATATTATGTTGAGTTAATTAAAGTGGAAACTAAAAGTCACCACTTGAATTTTTTGCGAACGCGAAGAAAGTTTCGCTCTTGACTTCTTTTTGTAGATCATGCATTGGAGGGGAATACATTCAGTAGAATATAGATGTCATTTGGCAAATTTCTAATGCTTTATAAATGCCAAATAAGTCCTTAGTTATTTGGTACTTACACTTGACTTTTGAAAATAGCTATCCCATGTTATTGAGAAATTGCAACCTTTTAAATATTTTATTACTTATAAATTTTATGAAGGTAGGCAAGTAGAATAGGGTGAATGTCTCTGACGCACCTAGGCCTTTAGAAGGTCCATTGTGAAAAAAAAAATTCCTGTGATTTTATTTTGGAATTATATTTTTTTAAATTTTATTCTTAACAGGTCTATAACCATACGGTACATTATGAAATTTATCTCTTGAAACCTTTACAAAACACACCTAAAAAATAGATAACACAAAATAGTTTGAATTTTTATTATGATTATTTTCACACCTTTATAGTGTCGAATAGTAATACTACAAATAATTAATGGGTGAGAATAACACTTTTAACTGAGTTATGGAAATTTTATTCAAAAATAGTGTGAAATAGTCTTTTCAATGCAAAAAATATTTGCAATAGTACGTTTATAGAAACTTTTTAGCGAAAAAACATTTAGGGAAATTTGGTCCAAAATCAAAATCATTGTGTTAGTAATAGAGCTGGTCTTATTAAAAATGAATCATTTGCGGTATTGTCATCTGATATGAAACTCGAACCCTATTTTTCCACGGAATTTAGGCTAACGGTCATATATTTTCTATTGTACAACAATAACAAAAACACCACCATTTTGGTTTGGGTTCCAAATTTTTTCACAATAACAACTACCATCTTTGTTCGAGCTCCAGTAGAAATATAATATGTATGAAAAAGTATATCTTTATTTTATTTGATAATGATCGTTTTTCTTTGCCTCCCAGCAAGTGAACAAGCTATTAAAAGTGTTTAATGCCAAGATATAAAATCATGTAAAAAGAAACCCATAACTGTTCCAATAGATGGTCTAAACCTAAAACTTATTATCAAAACAGCGTTAGATCACTTACGTTATCACTTAACGTGGTAAAAAAATCCTCATGGACCGAATTTCAATTGCCGATTCGCTGTTGAATACGAACAAAATCGATCCATTTTCGACGCGTTTGATTACTGGTGATGAAAAGTGGGAAATTTACAATAACGTCAGGCAAACACGGACGTGATTTAATCGCAGTGAGCCGATCCAAAGAGTCATGTCAGGATTGACGGTCAGGAAGGTTTTGTTATTTATTTAGCGAGATTGGCAGGATATTATCTGCCATGAGCTACTCTTCATTCGAAATTGGACTATCTAAGGGAAGCAATCGCTTTGAAGCGGCCAGATTTGTTCAATAGGAGAGAAAGTATGTTCTATCACGGCAACGCTACGTCAGGTTAAAAGGTTTTTATAGTCCGGACCTGGCATCAAGTTATTAATATCTTTTCCTGTCTCTGGCGAATGATTTTGCTGGTGAAAAATTCGACTCAAAATCAACTGTATAAGTTTTTTGTCTATAGGGACGAAGATTTCTATGAGAGTGGCATTATGAAATTATCGTAAAAGTGCCAAAAAGTTAACAAAAAAACGATGCATATTTGACCTATATCTAATCATTCTAACTTTACTAAATAAAATCTCCAATTTAATGCAAAAATTATGCTTTATAGCTTTTTACTAGACCTTATATAAAACTAACCTTTTATATGTACATATGTATATACTATCAATACTAGCAAGTATTAATTGCACACATTAATTAAAACACTAATTATTTGTTTAAAAATGCTGCTAAAATTGCAGCATATAATATATATGCACATATAAATACCAACGTATACACGTTATTTATCGCTAACGACATGTTTTCAAATCCGTCTTAAATCGCCGGCAAGCGCTTTATTTATATTTTACAGTTCAACATTTCTCAAAAATCGATAAAAATAAAAAAATAATATGATGCGAAATAGCGTATTACTATTATCAGATATTACTAACTAACTCAGCGATTTTTTACTAAAAATGTGAGAGATATTGTTGTACATATGTACATATATAATATATGTGTATGTTTGTATGCAAATAAGTACATCACTCTAATGCTAGCAATGAGTAGCGATATTCGATTACACTTAACTCAGCTCTTTTATTTGCCGCCAGTTAAACGTGTCAATTAAATTGACAACTATATAATATATACTTACAAATGCACATGCATACATATATACAAGGGGTTTGTATATGAAGCGCAACTATATGCTAAAAACTCGTGCATAAATTATAGCGAAATCAAATCAATTGTATAAAAGTTCGCATGGGTGTTGAAAGGTGGCGTTAACAGTGTTAAAAGCGTATGTTATAAAAAAATAAAAATAAAAAAAAGCAAGAAAAAAATATTTTACTCAAACGAAGATCGATAAGGTTAATTTTTATCATTTCTATTAAATAATTGTTTTCAGTTTCCATTTTTTTTACACAACACTGTCAAAGCGTTCGTGCAGGCGAGTGTGTGTGCTCGTATATAACGGTTACACTTTGACAGTTGTTGGACAACTCAAGGTCGCGCTTGTTACTACCGCTTGTGTAAATTGGGTGATGCTGCGGCGACTTGTCAATTGCAATTGTTAAGCGTTGTAAATATGTATTAATTTCAAAGCCAGTTTTGTTTGTGGTTTAATGTGTTCATTTGGTCGGTGTCGTTACGTTGTTTACGTGCCGCTCATGATTATTGTTGACATTAGTTGATACGAGTTTTTGACAGTTTATACAGCGAAAATAAAACTAACTGGAATATTTGTAAAGGGTGTTTTTTTAGAGGTATAGAACTTTAAATTGCATTAAAACAACGATGGATTATTGGATTGGCATAAATTTTATTTAACCAAAAGATAATCTTGTGGCATTACATTTTAAATATGATTTCTGGCACATGACCGCCACGGTTGGCTCGGATCTAGTCCAATCTGGACGTCTAATTTTCGATTACTTTTTCCAACATTTCTGGCCGTATATCGGCAATAACACGGCGAATATTGTCTTCCAAATGGTTAAGCATATGTGGCTTATGCGCATAGATCAATGACTTTACATAACCCCACAGAAAGTAGTCTAGCGGTATTGAATCGCAAGATCTTGGAGGCCAATTCACAGGTCCAAAACGTAATATTAGGCTGTCACCAAACGTGCCTTTCAATAAATCGATTGTGTCACGAGCTGAGTGACATGTTGCGTCGTCTTTTTGGAACCACAGCTCCTGGACATCATGGTTGTTCAATTCAGGAATGAAAAAGTTAGTAATCATGGCTCTATACCGATCACCATTGACTGTTAAGTTCTGGCCATCATCGTTTTTGAAGAAGTACGGACCAATGATTCCAACAGCCCATAAAGCGCACCAAACAGTAATTTTTTCTGAATGTAACGGTGTTTCAACATACACTTGAGGGTTAGCTTCACTCCAAATGCGGCAGTTTTGTTTGTTGACGTAGCCATTCAAACAGAAGTGCGCTTTATCGCATAATACGATAAAATGAACGTAGTGCGCGATACCTATTTGCAAGCGTTTTTCAGACGTGAGTCTATTCAAGATGAATTGCCAAACCAAACTCAGAATAAATCACTTGACAGCTGTTAAATCGGTCGCCATCTTGAACAGTAATGCCAACTTAAAGTTCTATACCTCGAAGAAAACACCCGATATAACTAACGTGATCAATTGTTATATGCAGTGTTGCAAATAATGCATTAAAATTATTAATATTATAAAAATGAAATTAAAATACTAACTTATTTAAAAGTAATTTTCGAATTTCTAAACCCAAATGCTGGATTGAAAATTTAAGGGGCAGATCTAGTGTGAAATTAAGAAAAAAATCGCTTTCGATAGGTTCTAATGTGTAGCCGCTCAGTTCAATCAACTCCGTCAGCTAATCTTTAAACGCGTTTTTCTTATAACTACATTTTTCAAATTTGTAGTAACTAGTTCTCCATATAATGACTTACCAGTTTTTTGATGTGATCACAAACTGAATTTTGACAGACCAAAAACGAAAATAATGTTGGGTAAAATTCAAATTTTTTTTAAAAACGCCGCGATTTTTTAAATTGTTTATTATTTTTTCAACCGTAGGTCATTGTACGGACAATATCTTCTAGTAGAGAATTTTTTTTGAGGTTTCATAGACAAAAAAGACCGTAATCATTGTATTAGTAGAGGATTTTGGTTTTAGCGCCGTCGGATAAGACATGTAACTCGAAAATTATTATTTTTTTTCTTCAAAAATTCTAATGTGTGTATCTTAAAATGTGTATAAGTATACCATTCAAATTTTAAAATAATTAATATTATATATAAATATTTTTTAATACTCAAAATCCCCTACTACTGCCAAAAAAAAGTCTTATTTGCCCCTTAAAAATAAGTTTTGTACTAGAATAAGTCGAATAAAAAAAAAATTTTAACTCTAAATACCGGATTGTGAAATAAAAAAATTGAATGCAAAAATCTCTAAACTCGTCCTGTCAACAGCATCTTCTAACTCTTTTTCCAGTTATCAATATGTAGTATATCATTCCCTTTTATCGCTTTTCATTCCAGCTTTTGTTTTGAAGGATCATTTTTTATTACACTTATGGACAAAATAATAGGTGTACACAGTTTTTATTTAATAACTTTGAAGAATTTGCATTTAAAACTATTTTGTTTTAGACATATTTACGCTTTACTTTATTAAACATAAATATGACGAAAATCTTTCATTTCGAACTTTAAAACTGAATTTTTTTTCAAATCAAGAAATATCATTGGTCAAAATAATAGGTGTAAAATATTTTTTTCCAAATAAAATCAAAAAATTCAAGTTATCCTTTTACGGTTTATGGGTTTTGGATAACCTGTATATCCTCCGTGGTTTTTTATTAGTTTTCCAATTCGATTCGCCATGGATTGAACTATTTTTTGGCAGGTTCCTAATGGGGTAGCATCCCAAAGTTCCTTTGCTTTCTGCCACAATTGCTCCTTATTTTGAAAAGAAAAGGCTGCCAATCTCCTCTTAAGGCCCCTTTATAAGTTCTCAATCGGGTTGAGATGAGGGGATTGACTAGGCCATTGCATACAGGTCACATTTGCATCCCTGAACCACTCAAATACCAATCTCGATGTATGTTTTTTAATTAAAAAACTCACAACTATGGTTTTGAAGCATTTTAGTAGATGAATTTAAAATATTTAAAATTATTAAATAATTAATTTCGTCCTTTTATATATCTGTATCTTGGAATTCTGTCCAATTTCTGTTCACTTAAGAAATAAAAAAAGGCACATGTGATTTTTTTAGTTTACCCCATGTGAAAAATTTAGTTTACCTTACTTTCAAAATTATTTATTTTCTGTTGTCATCAATCAATAAAATAACACTTATAAATTAAGCTTCTGCTTTCTTAAAAATCGACATTTAAATGTGGTATACTGCTAAATAATAGACAAATTACATACATACATACATAGATTTATGTTTACATGGCTTAATAAATTTAATACCTGCATATGTACATACAATAAACTAAAATAAATACACACACCTTAAGATAATTTCAACTCATTTCGCAAATACATTAGGATGCGTTGAAAAAAAAACACGTTAACACAAATTAAACAAGAAAAGTTTTAAACTAAGTATTTCCAAATATGTTATTGCTGTTTTGACAGTGGCAAAAAAAATCTGCAAATTCCAGGATTTCTTCAAAAGAATATTTATTTCCTTCAATCTTCATTCATCTCTCTTTAATACTTCTAAATCTCAACAATAAATATTATTTATAAGCAATACACATTTTGGGTATATGTAATGTAAAATACAACTAAACAAAAAAGAAAAACCATTTAGTTCAATAGTTTTTGCACACACTGTTAATTCGTGCATTAGCCGGCTGTGAAATTTCATTCACACATTGACCGCTTCACATGAAGGACCCGGAAAAAAGTGCAAAGAAAACCCCATAGTGGAAACACACATACATACATACGTAAACACTCGCATGTAAACACAAAATATAATTTAAAATCAGCAGTTCTAGAGAGGAAATTGAAAATCAGATGAAAGTCAAAAGCACGTGCTCTACAAGTGGTTTTAAAAGCAAGTAAAATTCACTTTTAAAAGTCAATATATGATATATTTGTGTCTATGCCCTGTAGGACACACTTTTTTGTTATCATTTAGTATTCATTGCTCGCCACTTTTTCGCTCGCTTTAGTACCCTGAAACTGTTCAGTCCTAGTACTTACTGTGATCATTTTAGTACTCCAATAAAGATCAGTCCTAGTAATTTTTGTTATAATTTTAGTACTCAGAAACTACTTAGGATTCAATCATAATCTGTTTTCTAAAAAAACAAAACAACTTTTAGATTAAAAATTCACTAAAAATAAAATTTACTTGCTAATCCCAAAAACTTTAATTCAAAATAAAGTTTTAAAATTTGTAAACTTAATTTATTTCACTTTTAGTAATTATACATACATACATATGTAAATGTATAGAGAGTTTTTCAAAGGAAATTTATATACAGGAGCTCATAAAAAGCTCACTGAAAGCTTTGGAGAGTTCGAGGATTCTTCATTGATTACTCAAGGGGAATATTTTTTAGAATATTAACCTAAATGCTCAAGTTGATTCGATTAATAGTTTTGGAGATACAGTCTTGAAAAGTTACGCACACGAGGTCAGGTACTTATATAGTAACTTAAAACTTTAAACGCGTTTTTCTCAAAACTGTTTTCAAAGTCGGTTGCCAAGATTTCTAGCGAACTACTTAACCAATCTTAATGGAATTTTACACAGGTCTTCGAGATATAAGTTACAAGATCTTGAACGATGGCTTTTTTTGTTTAATTACAACTATTGAAAACTATTTTAACTAAACATCGAGAAATTTTACAATTTTTCTCTTTTTTTCTTCGTCCAATACCTAGTGTATGGTTTTAATAAAAACGTATTTTCTTCTTTTTACTTCTTATGATCCTTTAAGAAGTTCAACTGTCAACGCGGAGGCACCTGTTTTCCGAGGTCTTGCCGAAAACTACGTCATAATGGAATAATAAAAAGTTCAAATTAAATACTTATTAAAAAAAAAGATTATTGAAAATATGCTGTTTTTTGCTTCGGGAAACCCATTTTTCACGTAATATCTCTTTGTCCATAACGCCTAGCGATTTTTAATATTATTTAGGAAAGATTTAGGTTATAGCCTAAAAAAATTAAGGAATTTCCCAATGACCCTAAGTTCAACTATCACTAAAGATTATTTTTACTTTTACAAACAAATTTTAGTTCACTTTAATACACGGTGTGATACACTTTAAACATTTATTGTGTATACACTTAGAAAGCGCTATTTCTTTTATTATTTTTTTTTTTTGTTTTTGGTCAATTTCCTTTTAAAAACATAAATAGACAAGCTTGCAGCGTGAGTTCGTTCAATTATAAACATCACCGCTGATGTAGACGCCATTGTAGCATAGTTTTAAGAGATGAAAATTTCACTTCAGTTTAAAATCCCTAAATTGCGATTTAACGGAAAAAAATTTAAAAAACATTTCTACCTATATTGCCATAAAATATTACGGATAATAAATAGGATAAACATTTATCTTTTTATAAAAAAAAAGAAAATTAAAAATACAAAATAATAGAGAAAATATGTCCCGCCCTAATGTGGAAATAAGCATTGTTAAGATTATAGATTATTTTTCTATATAGACTACTTTTTTTTAATAATCTACCTATTCCAGTTTTCTATAAAAAAAAAAATTCCGGAAATTGAGCATTCTACTTAATGATCGCTGTGCTCATTTCACGGAATTTGCAAAACATTAACATAAACATATTTTCTTAGATTTTCTCCAACTTATTTTAACACTATTTTTATAGAGTTCTTTAATTTGTTTCATTTTAGGGGAAATGCCTTTGCGGCCAGTACATACGTGCGCGACTACGACGAGCTGGCGTCCTAAATCGGAAAGCCACTCAACGATTGCGCACCATATTGGAGCCCTCTTCGGCGGTGGTTTATGAAGTGTTTCCAGCATTGAACAGCGTAAACACTTTAATTACAATTATATTGAATTTATATCGTTATATTATATATGAATATATTTTTAATTTACCTTACAGATGGGTGAGGAATTGGAACGAATGCATCCGCGCGTCTACACAAATATCTCACGACAGCTATCGCGTGCCCCCTATGGGGAACTGGTCGATGGAGATACGGCTCCTATGTTGCTCAATTTGGTTGCCAAAGATTTGTTTCGTTCGAATATAACGTGGGGTAAAATAATCTCAATATTTGCGGTGTGTGGTGGTTTCGCCATCGACTGTGTACGTCAGGGTCATTACGAGTATCTGCAATTTCTGGTGGACGGTATTGCTGAGATAATTGAAGATGATTTAGTGCCGTGGCTGGTGGATCACGGCGGTTGGTTGGGCCTTCAGCAACATATACGTCCGCATGTGGGCCAGTTTTCATTCTTAGGCTTGTTGACACTTTTCGTGGCCGTATCATCGGGTGTTTATGTTGTTACCAATGTTGCCAAACATATTGGTTGTCATTTGTATTCTTTGCTATTTTGATAACAACCGCTATGTGGGATGTGGGAAATACATATATGTATAGGAATAGTCAATGTAAAATGTGAAAGGATTTTGAGTCTTATATTGTTGCAATAATACTGTAGATATTTTTGCATTTTTATTAATATTTACCATAAATAAATTTTCAGTAATATTTATGTAGATTACTTAGGAAAGTGGTATAAGATTGTTTATTCTTTAATTTTACCTAGTTGTTTGGAAATATCTAACGATTTCTTTAACCTTCCCTTTGCAAATGAACGTTAATAGCAATTTTTATAATAATTTAAATTTATGACTTTAAAATAATAGCAACTTTACTCTTAATTTAATTATTTATCAAAACACATTTATTTATAAACATTTTATCTCTGCAAAACTAAGAGTGATCCTAATATTCAAAATAAGATATGTACGTCTCTAACTATTAATTTTAAATTTATATGGTATTTACATGACAACTGACCCATACCAATCTATTTCATGTTTGTATTCACGCAAATACATTTGTTAATTCATTGTAATGACTTATTTTAGTTTGAAAGAAACATATACCATATACAAATAAAAATAAAAAAAATAACTCTATAATTAAAATTCCAATTTGGGTGGTAAATGAAAAACTATCTTACCAGGGCTTCATTGCTTTAAAATTGCATAGGTCTGTATGGTAAAAGTACCCGCTTGTTATGATCATTTCCGTGTATTTCCGGGAGTATTTCTCGAATTTACATAATAAAAAAATTTGCGACCGGAACTTGTCTGTGCCTATTCCGGTCATTTATGTGTTTCCATCCTTGTCTAGGGGAGTGCTAACTAGCTCTCCTTTCTAAATACACAAATTTTTATTTTTTCTCCAATATATTTATATCTGCTACATTCCGAAAAAGCTGTTGAGAATTACAAAATAGAATTGTCCATGAAAAAATACCATACAGTATCAACTTATTCAAAGCGTTGCATTAAGCATAAAAATGTATGTAAATACACATAAATACTCATGCAGTTCTATTTCATATATATACATCCTCAAAAAAAAATGTATTTGCTAATGCAAATTTTAAAACATTTATAAAATAAATTTCAGCTAAATATTTAAAGTATTAACTAAAGCGCGCCATCTACTGTTTACCAAGCACATTTCCCTGGAAATAGTAATGTCAAATTTGCCGACTAAGAAGAAGCAGACACCGTCAAGAATTTCAGATTCCTATCAATTCTCGTCATCAACGAACGAAATTTTTTGTTTAATCAAGTGTAAAAGTATTTTGTAGCAGTTTAATTTTAAATTAAATTGTGCCAAAGTAGCTTCAACTAACAAACGTGTAAGTTGCTTATAAGAAGCTAAAAAGAAAGTCAATCAAATGCAGTGAAAAGCATAAAAAACAACTTGAAATGTAGATATGTATGTACATGGACGGCAGCTAGAAAAAGTGATGACGGCGACAATTTCGATTGGTGCACTGCAATTGCTGTGTGTTCCACTATCAGACCTACGCTTTTACTTGAATCCAATAGTAAAAAGTGTTGTTGACAAGTTATCAGATTTTGTTTTATTTCAATATTATGAAGTAAACTGCTGTTGTTCAGTGCTTATATTGAAAACGTACAAAACCGGCCACGTACATACATACGAGTATGTATATCGAATTTTGACATTTATATCCGAATGCTGGTGTCGCTTATAAAATAAATATCAAAATAACAATAATTAACAGCTGACCCATTTCCAGTCACTAGCGGCATTAACAAAACTTTTTTACGTAAATTTTCAGATATTTCGTTGGTGCTTATTTGTTTATATAATTTTTTTATTTGGATAACGTTATAAGCATACTGCGAAATGAAAGTTAAAGAGTTGCAGAAGACGGTAAACATTGCATGGTCACCGCTGCCACAACATCCCATTTATTTGGCAGCGGGTAGTGCTGCACAACAACTCGATTCGAACGTAAACCCAGCATTGGAAATATATTCCACTAATTTTAGTGATCCGAGTTATGATCTGGAATTAAAAGCAAGCCTACCCAGTCAGTATAGGTAAATAACAATAATAAATCAACTTTAAATTTATATGTAACAATTTGTTTTAATCTTTCAGATTCCAGAAGGTTATTTGGAGCCCTACTGGTTACGATGGTGCTCATCCTAATGGCTTAATTGTAGGCGGTTGTGAGGGTGGTCATGTTATGATTTACTCTGCTGCTAAAATGCTAGCCAATGAAGAAGGTCTGATTGCACGACAAGATAAACACACCGGACCGGTTAGTGGACTTGATGTTAACCCATTTCAAACCAATTTGCTTGCCTCATGCGCCTCTGAGTCGGAAATATTTATTTGGGATCTTAATAACACCACCACGCATATGAATCCAGGCACTAAAACACAACCACTTGAAGATGTACAAAATGTCGCTTGGAACAGACAAGTGCAACATATATTGGCCTCAGTTTTCAGTTCACGTTGTGTTATCTGGGATTTACGTAAAAGTGAGCAAATCATTAAACTCTCCGACACACAATCGCGCGTTCGTTGGCATGCCATTCAATGGCATCCGGATGTAGCTACACAAGTTTGGCTAGCTTCAGAGGATGACCAAGCGCCGGTTGTACAATTGTGGGACTTGCGTTACGCCACCGCGCCAGCAAAGACAATGCAAATTCATCAACGTGGTGTACTTGGTATGTCCTGGTGTCCACGTGACATTGATCTAATGGTATCCTGTGGCAAAGACAACCACATCTATTGTTGGAACCCTAACACCGATATACCCGAAGGCGAAATACTCTCGGAAGTAGCTGCTACAGCCACCTGGTATTCGGATGTGCAATGGTGTCCGCGTAATCCAGCGCTGGTCGCTAGTTCAAGTCTTGACGGCAACGTGTCGATTTATTCACTTTTTGGCGGTACGCAACAACAGGTGCAAACATCTAATAAAATAGCAGACTCCTTCCCCGGTATGGATCAAATAGCGCAGGCGCCCATACCACAACAATCGACGCAGATAGTGTATCATGACTTGAAACGGGCACCGAAATGGATTAAACGCCCTTGCAGTGTTGCATTTGGGGTACTTATTGTAAATTACACTTTTGGCCTCTAATAACTATGTATGTAATTTTTATTTACAGTTTGGCGGTAAATTAGTGCATTTTAATAGTCAATCGAAACAGGTGCAAGTCTCGCAGGTAGTCACTGAACCAGAATTGGTAGAGCGCGCTAACGCGCTTGAGCGATCTCTCACCGAAACAAATTATGTTGATTATTGTCGCGAACGTGCCGATCAAATGTTGGATCAAAATGGACGTTATTTATGGTATTTCATAAAGGCGAACTTCGAACTCAATCCCAAAGAAGAAATGTTGAATTTACTTGGTAAATATCTGATAATGTGTATGATTGTCGAAAAATATAATGGCATGTATATTTCATAGGTTTCAACAAAGACGACATAGATATTAAATTTGCTAAATTTGTGAAAGAAGATGAAGCGCAACAAAATGAAGTGAATCAAGTGACGAATCGATTAGCGAATCTCTCGCATGTAAGTGAAAATAATTCTTATAGTATATAAAAAACTTGGCCAAAAAATGTTTAAACAAAAAAAGTTTGTTAATAACTTTTTTCAATTAAGTAATGTGAAAACATGTATAAATTTTATTAGTTTTTATCATAACATTTTTTCTTTTATATACTTTTAATAAAAGAGAAATGCTACAGTGCGTTGCCGTTCTGTTCAAAATATACACTATGTCCCAAACGTGATAAGGAATCTTTAAAAAAAAATTAACTAATTGTTAACGCCACATTCACTCTCACTTTTTCTTATCTACTATTCAGCCGCCACCATTAATTCAAGCGCTATTATTATGTTTTGGTGCGTTTTTAAATTTGATATGTTGCACGCCGGAGCAACGCATACTGCTACTTTTTCGAAGTTAATGTGATAACAATATGTCTATAATACAGTAGACTATATATACTTATATATAATCGTTTTTCACTTACACACGCATACAGACACATAATGTTTTACGCATAGCCACAAACAGTTTTACACACATACAAATACAATAAAAGTTTTATAATTCATTGAAAAATTCGTTTAGTTCATATATATAAACTATATTGGTTTTTGTATTTCATTGCCTCATACCAACTCGCTCTCATTACTTTGCAAATCCTTTGTTTGCTTAGAGCGATTCATCGGAAGTTGAGTGTGATCAAAGTACTGATGGCAGTACCGACATATCGGTAAGAGTTCTATATTATTTTAGTAGGCGATTGTATATGATGTGCCATCTAAAACCGGTTAATTTCCTAGTTTTATTAAATAAATGTATAGCCAAATAAGCAAACTAACTTTTTTGTTATATAAAAATTCACTTAAATGTCAAATTCATTAAGAAAGAGTTGTTTTGTCTAAACAAATGGTTTTAGTTAAATTTCATTAGTGTTACCCTTACCTATAGACGTATATTTATAATTGTCTTGTTTAAATTAAGCACGATATTATTCCAAAATTGTTTATTTGTTACCACAAGGCTCATCATCAGTTTCATCGTAGATTTAACACCGCTCTACATATCGCTACCCTATATGTATATCTATTTCTCGATGTTGTGTGTAAAATGAAAAGCGTACTTTCTTTTTGTACTATGCTTATTGTAACTTATCTCCATATAAAAAGTAAGCATAACAATATTAAAATATTTGCCTAATTTACAGCAACCGGTGGATAACAATGCAATATTCGACGGCATTGCGGCCACACAGAAGCAACAGCAGCTGCAGAATGCAAATGCCGCAAAGCAGTTCGCCATACCCAAAGGAGAACGTAAGTTTGCAGCAACAATATGTTTATAGGAATTATCTACTTTTCTTCTATTGTATAACTGTAGAAAATATTTTATTTTTATGCCACCATTATTTAATTAAATTGATTTATTGATTTCCATATAAATAGATCCCGATAGTCTGATCACTGAAGCAATTCTCACTGGTAATCTGGAAGCTGCTGTCGAACTCTGCCTTGAATCGCAACGCATTGCGGAGGCGCTTATTGTCGCCTCCACAGCTGGCATTGATTTTCTTACTAAAATTCACAATCGCTACTTGGAGCAGCAACAAAACGAGTTATCCAATGTGATTAGTGCGCTGGTGACACGTGATTGGTTGGATTTTATCAACCGTTGCACTGTAGACTCATGGAAGGAAGCTTTAGTCGCGGCCCTAAAGCATAGCGATCGCAAAGTGGTTGACATTTGCGAACGTCTCGGTGATCGCCTACTGGAGGAGCGTGCGCAAAGTATCGATTTTATACGTAACGCTATGCTATGTTATGTGTGCGCTGGTAGTATTGATAAATTAGTGTCCGCTTGGCATCAATTGAAAGCATTGGAGCACCAAAACAATAATTATAAACCGAATACGGCCGAGTTACAGGAATTGGCCGAAATTGTAATGTTAATGAGCAAATCTTTGGAACAACAAGGAATTGCTTTGGAACTAAATGGACGCTTTGCCGACTTCATTACCGAATATGGCGGTCTATTGGTAGCGCAGGGTGCACTCACAGCCGCTTTAGCATATATTTATGCTTTGGCTTCGGGCAATGATGAACAAAATGGCGAACTGATGGAGCTGCGCGAGCGCATATATAATACAGTTAATTATAGACCAATGTCTGCGGCTGCCACTGGACGTGTAGTAAATCAACAGCAACAAGCACCTGTTGCACGCGGCTCATTTTCGCATGGATTGCCACACGCTGGTTATGGCGGCACAAACCAATTTGGAAACAATCAAGCGGGCAATTGGAACACAACCGGGCAATTGCCAACACCTAGCGGCTCCGCTGCAATATTGCAACAAACCCCGCTGTTTAATCCGATTGCAGCCACGCCGTCGTCTACTGTGACAGCCAAACCGCCACTAGCCGTACCCGGACATATCACCAATGATGCACTGAACACACAGCCACCACGTCCGGCTAGCAATGCCAGTTCACAAGGTGGCAGCGGCATCAATTTACACTCACGCTCCAAGTACGTGCTAGATCCGTCAGTGGCTTCCGCTGGTCCCATGGGCGGTTACGGTGGTGGTTATCAACCACAGGTAGCAGCACCAGCTCCAGCTGCCATACCTACATTCAATGCAGGTCAATTTAATGCGTCGTTAGTACCAACGCCTGCTCAACCAAGTCTGATGCAACCGGCTGCACCATATAATATGGGCGGTGGTGCACCTGCGCCGTATGGCTTAAGTGGCAGCAACAACTACGCTGGTGGTCTGACATCTGATATTAGCAACCAACAGCCACAACCACCGAAACCACCAACACAGAGTTTACCGCGCAGCCGTACACCACCACCAGGCTGGAATGATCCGCCGGCATTGAAGTCAACACGTGCGGTAAGATGAATGGATTTTTACCTGAAAATATATGTGCACAAGTTAGAAGCGCTCAAAATATTATTGTTTAGATGTTGTTTTAATATACAAAAAATTATGTTTTCGTTTTGCTGATAAACTTCTCTCGCTTAGATAATGCAAAATCGCAGCAATGAAATGTCTGCACGCCATGCAGGCACCCGCCGCTGGCAGAAAATCATAAATCACGAAAAGGATGATACAAAAATGCTTTTGAAGCCACCTTCACAATTTGGTTTTGAACAATTTTGTGCAAATGATTCGCACTCAAGTGTCTTGTCCACACAAAATTTCTGGCAGGTATTGAGCGCATTCCAATTATTGCATATCCATTGCTATGACACTTGAGCTAGAGCATACAGTTCAATTCCCGGTTCGCATTTATACTTATACATATATATATGGAATGCCTTTTGTTTACGTTTGTTGATAGTGAGCAGATTTCTCCACTTTTTTTTTGCTTTTTCTCAAGGTAACCTTTTTGATTGTTTGTTGAAACAACAAAATCAAAACAAAAGAGTTCATTAGTGCCAAAACACCAGTTGCCTTGCTGTCCTGCTAAATAACGAATATGTTTCCAATAATATTTCTGAAGTGTATTTCTCCCACCTTTAACCAAATACCGATTACAATATTGATTGACGTGTTTTTTTTTTCAATTAACATAACATTAACAATTTTGAATTACACTCTTCTTTAACTGTCACATTAAATACACTGTCTTCCCAAACAGCCCAAAAAACCAGAGCCTACACCCGCATCTGCGCCCATAACTCATCCCCTATTCGGCGTTGATCCGAATCAAAATCAAAATGGTTATGCGGATCCATATGCGCAATATCAGGTAACTATATAATAACAATTTTTGTTAGTTATGAAAAAACTTGTATCATATACATTTAATTTAAGAATCCCGGTATGCCACCACCACCAACCGCCAACAGCAATATTCCAACTAACTTACAACCCAATGACCCAGTTGGCTACTATAATCCAGCATTGCCACAAAATAATAATTTGCCAACGCAGCAATTTCCACCACAACTGAACTTCCAAACATCAGCCAGACCACAGCAACAACAACAACAACCATGGAATTCACAGTCACAAAATGTGGGCTACACCGAGCAGCCGGCGCCAGTGCAACGACAACCGGAACCCGTAAAAGAGAAGCCGCCACTACCGGAGGAATATATTTATCTGCAAACGGTGTTGGAAGAGTTGAAGAGTCAATGCTTGGCCGTATCGGCTGATCCGGTGAGTTGAGCACATTTTAAGTTTACAGATAATAACAGCCTTGAACGGTAATTTTTTCCTTGATTTTTTCAATATTTGAATGCCTCACTTTCTACGCTTCCATGTATAACAAACTGTCAACAATTACTTTTCCAGCGCACCAAACGGAAATTTGTAGATGTTACCAAGCGTTTGGAGAATCTTTATGACTGTTTACGTGATGGCAGAGTATGTATAAATATTGCATTTAACCGATTTTAAATTTAAATTCTGTTTTTTCACTTTCTTAGCTTCACTCTGCCACAATCGCAGCTCTCAATCAAATCGTACAGTTCGTGCAAGTGGGCGATTATGCCAATGCCTTGCAAACGCATACCCAAATCGCATTCGGCTCCGATTTTTCACAGTGTGCTGGCTTTATGCCGGGTCTAAAGGTGCTTGTACAATCGGCTGCTGATTTACAGGTTTATCTACGTTAAGTTACAAAAACTATATGAAGAGTCTACAAATGAATTTTATGTCGGTATAAATTAAATAATTCCATTTTTGTCATAGCTATTATGTTCCATGGATTTTGTCCTTATATGTATTCTCTTGGTTATTAACATTCATTGAAAAACGAAAAAAAACAATGCCGCGCATAAAGATTGCATAGTGGTAAATATTCTTTTACCTCAATAACTAATTGTTTGTCTTACTTTAACCTCTATGTATTTACAATATAATAACTTGCTTTGTGTTTTCGTTTTTTTTTTTCAAAGTGTACTTTATATAAAAAAAATTAAATATACGTATCGTAAACTCAACAATATACGTTGTACTATATAATATGGAATATTTGAGGTTGTGCATACGACGTCAGAAACCATGCAATATTAATAATTATGGAATTGTATACAAAAATTACGATAGACTAATAAAAATATGCATTTGCGAAAAGTGATTTGCATTTCTTGTTTGATATAATATGTACATAGAGTGGTAGCTTATTTCAAAATAAACTATGATTATTTAAACAAGTAAGAACAAGCGTGGATGCAACCGGAAGTATTCAGTCATTTTAAGGGTACGACTCATATTATGGAAGTGGAACAGACCGAAAAAAATTAAGTTATTATCAATTTGGATCATTATATACAACATTGTTGGGCGTGAGGGAATGGTTAATGAAATATAAATACTAGATAAGTATTTTCGCGAAAATAACATAATAGAAGCGATAAGAAAAATAAATACAGGAAACGTTATACTTTTCCTCCTAAAATGTATCATATACATAAGTATGATTTTGCCTTTGGTTTCGAATATGAAAGTACGACTTGAATGCATTTTCGGCACGAATTTTTATTGAATTTGATGTTAAGAATTTAAAGTGAACAATTAAAAAATTTAACGGGAATTGCCGCCCAATTTCGGTTTTAGAAATCAATGCTTACTACTACATATATTTGCGTGCAACTAAATTCTCTCTGCTTGTTTTTTTTAATGAATATGCAATATTGTATGGGAATGGTTACAAATGAATAAGTCGAAATGTCGCCCATCGCTAGTCAAAAATTTTTGCAAAGCGCGAATACCATTATGGTCAAACTGTCCATCTTGTGATGCTATCCAAGAATAAAGTAATTTTTGATGTCATCTTTTGAGTGGAACTGCTTCTGAGCCAGACTGCTTGAGAGCCATCGAACGGAACAAATAATAATCGGACGGTGCAATATCTGGGGAATATGGTGGATAAGAAGGATTTTCCATTTAAGCGTTCCCAGGTAGGTTTGAACGGGTTTAGCAACGTAAGGCCGAGGAATGTCATGCAGCAGAATCACTTTTTCGTCCCTCTCTTTTTATCGAGGCCGCTTTTCGCTCTGAATGGCTTGGCGGGTGACTCCCAATGCTGAAGCAAGTTCTTCTTGCGTTTGACACAGATCCTCATTTAGCAACGTCTCCAATTGACAATCTTCGAACGTTTTTGGCCTGCCATCACGCGGACGGTCGTCAATATCGAAATCGCCGTCTTTGAAGCGACGAAAGATAATCAACACTTCCCGCAAATGATGATTATTTGTCAAAAAATCTTTCATATTCGCACAACCAAAGTATATGACACATAATGGATATATCAAAATTGATAACCACTAACTAACTGCCGGAGCCATCTATTGACAAACAGCGGGAACTTAGTTACGCACCTAATAATAATAACTGAATTTAGTGACACCTGTCGACAAACATTCCGAAAACATGTAAGCTGCTATATATTTCTTGTCTTCAAACCAGAGAATGTAAATTATAGAAAAGGTTCACAGTGCGGCCATTATCAAAATATTTCACTTTTCGCAGGGGGACTAAAAACGATGAGCGTGTTTCACCACAGAAAATTATTGGCCACAATTAGCATCAGGGGACTGAAAAATAACAGAATTGAGCATTTTCAATGTTAATTGAGAAAAGTAATGCTAATTTCAATGTTAAGAAATGTACGCTTACAGATTCGTATATTTACAATGCGCAAACGACTTTGCATATAATTTGAAGATATTCTGCTTATACAGGGTGGCTAACGAATCGTGCACATATTCTCTGTTCAAACAATTTGAAGTAGTTAAATGGATTTAATACTTGTTACACAATAATTCGGTACTATTAATAATTTTTTCATAATGGTAAGGTAGTAGTCAATTTAGAGTGAGAACAGACTATAATTTATACCGAAACTTATAAGATGTACATACATACATGACATGGCAGTTGCAGTTAAGTCCGAAACAATAATGAAACAGCTGTTTACCACATTATTTCCTCGTGAAGTTAGGCGTATTTTTTAATGTTTATAAAATAATTTGAAAGTTCGCGTATTTATTTTGAATTTTCGTTACGGTAGTAATTTATTAACAAATAAAAAAAGTCTTCTAAAATATAAAGTTTAATAATAAAGCGGAGTATAAATGGCAGGTATAAAGATGACAGTAGGCAGATTGCAGCACCATAACTTCAATTCTTAGAATATATGATATAAAAAATTGCAAATCATAGACTAAATGAAATTGTTAGAAACTGTTACATTTTTTTGCTAAATATTAAATATATACAAAGATTTTATATATATTGTGTCTATAAAGCTTATAGTAACACAAAAATGGAAAATGGTTTGCATCAGGATGAATATACTGGTGCTATGTCAGCGAACAACTTGACAGAACATGTTGAATATTTTGAATATGAAGATAATATTAACACTGGTTATAAACACGAATCATTGATTGAATATGTTGAAGAAGATGATGTACAAAATGGTGATTATGTTGAAAACGAAACGTTGGAGGAGCATGTGAAAACCCACACTTTAACCATAAAAAACTTGCAGATCGATGGTCAATCTCAGGAAATATATCGTTGCTTAGAGTGTGCAATAGATTTTGTTACTCTCGAGGACTTCACTAAAGTACATCAAGAAATGCAAAAAAAATTATCTTATAAAGCTCCAACAAATATTAGTATCAACAATACACTTCAAAATGAACAAGTAAAGTATGAGCAAATAATTCAAAACTCAAGCGATAGTTGGATGATTATAAAAGAAGAACAGATTATTGTAGATGAAAATGAAACTGAAGAGTTGGGGGATTACATAGAAACGAGTGAGGATATCATTGAACAAATGAATTTTGACAAGGAAAACAACGATATCGTTACTGATACGCTTCTACATGTCAAAGAAGTATGACAGTATTCTAGAGTTCACATATTTTGCTTATTAAATTCATGACTTTTTCATCTTATAGGAAAAACAATCTATCACAGATGAAGAAGATGATGGCGAGAAATATTTTTGCTGCGATTGCCAATTGGTATTTAGTGATTTAGAAAGAGCAGAGCAACATGTTTGTAGCGCTATAAATAATTGTACAGTTAATCCGGAAGATACAGATAGAGCTGTAGAGCAAGAAGACTATGAAAACAACTTACGGTTATATCTTGAAGAACAAAAGCAAACATTGAACACATCGAAAAAAATCGAAAGCAAAGAAGTAAAATATCATTGTGCCGAATGTGATAAGACATTTAATTCTCTGCAAGGCTTACAAATACATAACCGCATTCACAAAACAAAAGAGATTAAGACACAAAGTGATTCTTTTGATGTAGTAGAATTGAAAAAACCAACATGTCCGATTTGCAACACCAATTTCAGTTCGTATAAAAATCTAAAGTATGCATGCTTTGTTATAAATTGTCAAATCTTACTAACTTCGAATTCTTTAGGTTACACATGAAAATTCATGATGCACAGCAATTGCGAACAATAGAGCAAGCATTGCCGGCTGGCGCCAAAACGCAATATAAGGATATGAATAAATTCTTCTGTGAGATATGCAATAAGAGGTTGGAATTATTTATTAAGACTTTAATTAATTAAAGTTTTTTTATACACTGAACTGGGTATATAAAGTTGGCCACGAAATTCGGAACACCCAGCCGGAAGCGTGGGAGAACCTATTAAAGATATTCACATATAAATGAGCAGCGTGACGAGCTAAGTCCATTTAGTCCCTCTGTATATACGTGAACTAGTCTCTGAGTTTTTGAGATATCAATTTCAAATTCTGCACATGTCCTTTTCTACACAAGTTAATGTTCATTTGTTGGAACGATTGACATTGGACTACTTTAGCATTGGCTGCCTTACAAACTAAACGATCAAAACCAGAGACAAAATCCGTCTCCTTGTCGCGCTCTACACTGGGCACTGCAGGCTCAAGAAACACCTATCAAACATGGGCATAGCTTCTGTGGCAACTGCCGATTCTGCGACATGGGACCGGAAACACCAGAACACCTAATCCTAGATTGCAACGCAATTTGTAGACGCAGGCTCAAGGCCCTCGGTTCCATTTTTGTGACCAGGGATCACATTGCCTCAATAGCACCCAGCAAGTATCTGGAGTTTTTCAGGGTGATGGGACTTTGGGAATGCATGTGATGGAGGAGAGGGCACAATAGACCCTAGGTCGCAGTGCATACCTCATTTTCAAATCTAATCCAATCTAAACGATCAAAATCAAGTTCTTGTATGGAAACTGTTTTTTTTTTTTTGTGAAGGGTATTCTAGCTTCGATGCAACAGAATTTAACGTTTTTTTTCTTCTTGTTTTTACTGGTATTGAGACAATGTATATTCTTTAAATTACAGTTTTGAACAGAATCTACTTGGCATACATAAAAACATGCATCAACAGTCCACGGAATATAATTGTGGTATCTGCAATCGTCACTTTGAAAATAAAACAAGCTTTGACATGCATATGCAAATGCATGCTGACAAACCCGCGAAACCACGTAAACAACAAATTAAGCAAACGGATAGTGGTGGTCGGTTTGCTTGTCAATATTGTGGTCGAACGTTCCAGCGACCGTATGAGAAAGTGCGCCATGAGCGTGTACATACTGGTGAAAAACCACATGCTTGCGAAGTGTGCGGCAAAACTTTTCGCGTTTCTTATTCACTGATACTACACCTGCGCACCCACACCGATATACGACCATATGTATGCGCCACTTGCAATAAACGGTAAATTATATGATTTAGCTAAAAATATATTTATGCAAATTTATTAATTGAATGCTACAGTTTCAAGTCACAGCCTGTTTATGCTCATCATCTACGCACACACGATGCGGAACGTGCATACAAATGCGAAATTTGTACAAAATCATTTCGGACTTCAGTACAACTTTCGGCGCATAGGAATATACATTCGAAACCTTATAATTGTCCAGTATGTAATCGTCCCTTTGCTTCATTGTATTCGGTGAAAATACACATGAAAACCCATAATAAACTTAACCGTTCTGGTGACACGACCAAATACAGTTGCTATGTGTGTGGTGCGGAATATGCGCGAGTTTCAGCGTTACGAATACATATGAAGGATTTACATCTTATCGATTTTGATACGAACCGATCGTTGGATTTAGATGATATGATATCGGCTGAGGAGCAAAACTCACAATCTCAACACGACACAGATGACAATGAAGATGAACAACAAGTTGATAATGAGGCTGCCGTATTGATAGCAGCGGCTGCAGAAGCCGATTGCGCAGCCTACATAGAAGCTGCAACAGCGCATACGTCTGATCCCACATCTGCAGGAGCAGAGAGCATGACACTTCATTCACAAGTCAGTTCATCATATGAAGTGGCGCTGCAAAATCATGAGGTGAGATTAGGACATTAACAATAAATTATTATATAAATTGTTTTATTGTTTTTATTTAGTTGATTGTGGACAATTACCAGACTGAAGAGATTGTAACCGACTGGTTATCAAAGTAATATTAGCAAATACAGTAATAAGCATTAAATAATGAAGCTTTTTGAATAAATTAGTTTAATTGAAAAAAATCCTAAAATACATATAAAATACTTAATTTTTGTTTTAATTACTAAATAGACATCACGAATTAAATAAGCTTGGGTTGCCGTCGAATATGTTCCAGATCTAACATGGCAGTTTGGGGCGATTGATGTAGCTGTTGTCGTGCGGCCTGCGTCAAAGGCGAGCCCACTGGCGTAACTTGTTCCTTGACTTCATTTTGCCCTTCCGGTAACAATCGATATTTCTGAAGATACTTGTAAGAAGCATTTGATATATCACTTGGTCGTTTCTCTGTGTTTTCAATTGGCCGCAAAGGTGTAGTTTGTTTTGGTGGCGTTGGTAATATATTGAGTTCGTGTAGTAATTCATTTAACTTTTCATTAGGCAGATATTTAAGAGCCAACTCATTCATGAGCATACTTTGTTCCGTGCTTGGTTTATTATGAATTATATTGTCTGTAGATATTTTGATGTTGCGTGGTGTGTTTGGTTGGTAAGCAGTGGATTGTGCAGCAGGTTGTCGCGGTGAGTCTAAGGCGTACATGGGCATATCTTTAATTGGTTGATATCGTTCACTTGGAGCTACAACTGCATTTGCGTTATTCGACTCTTTAATCAAGGCATCCTTTGATCGAGTTTTCCTTTCATTATCACAACAATCGTTATCGCTACACTGTGTACTCGCATCTTGACGAGACACTTTAATGGAATGAGCTAGATGTTGATTTAGAAGAGTTTCAACAGCATTCATTAGACGAAGCTGATCCATTCGCAGTTCCCCATATATTGAATGTAATTGTTGAAGGTCCTCTTTAGTTGCTAGACGTGTGAGTAGTGCAGCATCAATATGGTTGAAATCAGAAAGCAGTGATGAATCTGTTTGCGAGCCTGCACAAATGGTAAGTACGTCCGGTTTTGACTTGAAAATTGTTGGATTTTGCTGATGTGTCATTACTGTAGGAACATCAGGAGCACGACTTTTTAAATTATCTTCTTGGTTTTCTTGTACACCTAAGTGTTGATCTAAACGCACAACAGGTCGTTGTGCATAAACATTTGAAGTTATTTGTGTATTATTAGGTGCGGTCTGCTGGTTAACGAGTAGTGATTTTCCTGAAGCAGAATTAACATTGGTTGAATTTACTATGTGACCATTTATGCTATATACTTCAGCGCCAGCCGGTGGAAATGAAACCTTTGGCAGTACTTGCTTTTTCCAAGCAGCATAAGTTGGTTGTGTAGGTTCCGACGTAGCTGTAGACAAAGATGATGAACTTGGAGGCGCTTGTTGAGCTCCAAATAATATTGATACTTCAGGCACGGCTGGGCGTACTATAGCAGCAGTGTTAATATCCAGAGGCACACTTGGTTTTGGCGCACAGCGTGGCAACATATCTTCAGTTTCAGGTCTAAACATATCTTCTTATTTATTATTATACTACTTTGAAAAAATTTAAATACAATCGCAACTGGTAATGAAAGGATTCAAATTAGTCGGGATAGAGCTTCCAAGTTTGAAAAAATTGTAGAAAAATAAGTTTCAAACTATATTTAATTATAGTAAGTTTTGTCGAAATAAACGCTATAAGCGTCACCTTTGTGTTTATTGGACAATATAAAATTTATTTATTTTTTTATCTTTTGCACCTAGGTAAAGTACATTATAAAGATCATTAAGTATTTTTTTAAAATATTTATATTTCCACTTAATACTTTATTAACGAAATGATAAAAACATCAACTCTGTGCCCCTTCCCACTTTGTTCCAATTGTATTAATTTTTCAACAAGTGTTGCGTGTCTTTTATTCAGGGAAAAATATTTAAAACAAATATTCTCTTAAAATATTTAGATGTTAATTACTACATTTATTATATAAAAACAATTAAAGATTAAAAAATAGCTATAAAGTAAAATAAAAGTATGTATCCTTTTATATTGACAACTCATTTAATATTTAGACATCTACAATCAAGGTATCAAAATGACAACACTGGCATGGGAGTTCATTTCTCGTTCCTTCATTCGTTCGCGTTGTTGGTGTAGTGCGGATCATCAAAATTTTAATTTATATGTGAAATCCTTACATATTTATATAAAAAGTACTCATTTATTATTAAATTGTGACTTATTAATATATATGAGCTTAAATAAATCAAGTTTAAAAAATGTATTATCTTTAATAAACTCATTATAATAAACAAGTGCTTTAAAACTACTAAAGGTTCGGTGTCAAGAAAAGTGGAAGGGATAACGATTAAAAAATCACATACCAATCAAAGAAAAACCTTGGGGTGAAAAGAATCAAAGTAACGAAGTATACCTGAGGGATTGAATGAAAGCCATAAAAAACTAAAGATAATTACTAAAGGAAACGAAATTCAATCATTCATAAAATATATATATAAAATTACAAGCGAATACTTATCTAATTCAAAAGTGTGGATATATTTGACGAGCCGAAAACTTGTTGCAATTTGTGACGAAAATAAATAAGTTTGTATAAAGTTTATAAAAGTCTTAGTTTTTTTAATTGCACTGCCGGGGTTTTGTTTAAAAATTATAAATACGTCTAATCTCTTGTGTTAGGCACAAATTTTAAACTTCCTTCACTAAGGGAGAACAGCATCACTGCCGGGAAAATGCAGATTTCTTGTAAATGCTTAAATTTCATTGCCACCAGTAATAGTCAGGCGGCAAATAGCAATGTTGGAAGCATTAGTGCTAGCATCTATAATGGGATATCGGCAATTGATTCATATTCTTTACGAAACCCTGCTGATGATGACAGCAGCATGCCATTAGCGCAACAATTTATTGGCGGTTGCAATAATGCCGGCAATGCAAACAACTCAAACAACCTGTGCACTACATTAATGCATGCGTTCTTACAGCGTTACCCACGAACGTTCATCTTCTATTCGCAGTGCATGGAATTCTTCAAACAGGTTCGTGGTCTTAAAATTATAGTTACATATTGAAGTTATTTGGATACATAAAATTAACAATAACGCTAACTTTTTAAGTATGTACCATATATTTTTTGAATTTTAGTTTGCGCATATTATATTTTACTACTTGTATGGGATTATTAGTATGTTGAAAATAACCATATTAGTAATTAGTGCATTATGGTTGTGTTTGGGAAAATAGTAAAAAAGTAATTCCACATAAACATAGTTATTTCCTTCAACCCACAAGTCAATACCCCAAAGTGTGAAGTATGTGAGTTAAATTTCTTCGATAACCTACTTCCTTTCCTTCCATTTGACTGCTTCATGCAATACTAGCAAAGTATGTAGGTAAAGGCAATAAATGAACGTCACAAAACTCCAGCTAACATAATAACGTTATTAAAAATCTCTTTAAATTTTAAATTTTAAAATGTATTATTGCAAATAGCTGATTATTTATAGTTAAGAGTGAATAAAAAGTATATTGTGCACACAAAAGTTTGTCCTAATTAGAATCTTTTAGTAAATTGGCGTTACGAACGCCTTTTTGGTTAGGAATCTATTACTAAATATAATAATATCAACTATTCTTCTAACGTATTTCTAGAGTGAGCAAGCTTCCCATAGAACCATTCAGCCGTTCAAAGTCTGTTTAAAGCCTGGAGGTCGCTCAGTTAGTTCGATAGAAAATAGCTTTATGAACTATGTTGTTGTTGTAGGTGTTATACAGACCTTTTTTTGTGGCAAGGATCAAGTTTATTGTCATCTAATCGATCATCTAACGGAAGGTCCAGGAAACGTGGTGTTTCGACGGCACGGACCATATGGAGAGGGATGTTAAGAGAGTAGGTATAATATGAAATGCAAAGTGATGATTAGAATCAAAAGGGACTCAAAGCATGCAGGTCATATATTTGATATGTCGGGGTCGATGCTGGATAAGTAGAAGTTTAACCTGCTACAGTATCCAAAACGAAGATGTGGTCTGTTGTTGTTCTAATCCTGTTTGGATAAGTGAGTAGTTTACGAATTTGCTATGCCGTCGCCTAATTGTTTTTTACATTTCTGTCGTATTCCCACCCGATTTTTGAACTTTGCAATAAACTACCTAACAATACGCTCAATTTCCCCTTACAAATTGACATTTATTATATTTACATATTTACGAATAGAGACGATTGCATATGCTTATCTACGAACAAAATATATACATACATATGTATATACACCTAGGCAAAGAAAAAAGCGTCTTAAAAAATAAGTAATCATGTGCTGTAATACTCTTACCTACAAAAACAGATGCAACAACTTGTTTACCCCTTTTGGCGTGTTGGTCGACCCAAAACAAGACTTCAGAAGATTTTCGAAAATAGAAAAGTGCAAAGCGAAACAAGAACGAATAACAACAATATAAAAATATATATGTATGTACATATGTATTCATACTAGATATGCATGTATAAATGTATTTTAACAAAGCAAATAAAGTTACGTCGCGTCAGAGACCGGCCGCCGAAAAGGCTAGCTGATCTGTCTGTCCGGCTGACAGTCCCACCATCAAATTGCTTTAAGCCGTCGCACACTGCTCCCATGTTAGTCCAACTTATTGCTTACTGACTATAGTGTTGCTATTTTTATTTGAAAGCTTGTTGAAGTGAAAAGTGTGGTGGCGTGATGGGGCGGTAGTTCGGAGTGTGCCATTGTGGCGACGTTGTTAAGTTGGTGCGCATAGCCCACCATGCGTATACACATTGTTACATTTTTTGTTTGATGACGCCATCCCTACACTGTCGATTCAAATTATATTTCAGTATAATAGATAGCCAAGCGTTTAGTGGTTAGAACAACAACAATACGAAAAAAGTAAGGTACCTACGGTTGGAAATATCGGGATGTGCGCTAAGTATAAGAACGGCAGTTTAACGACGTGGTGTGTGTGTGGAACCCGATTTTCTGGCCCTACCCACATTTACAAACAACATCTACACATGCAATGTAATTTATGCAAGAATTGGAATAATAGTAAACAGGAAAAGAAGAAATGAAATGAAAACGACGAAAGAGTTAAGTACAATAGTACTTATATACATACATACATATGTATATAATAAATAACTTGAGTTTTTGATAATTTTTAAATCTAATATTTGTTCTAATATTTTTTTCAACGACATACATACATCTATTAGGTGTTTAGACAATTTGAATCTATATTGTACGAAAAAGTTAACGTTTTGTTCCCTTATTTGAATTTTTAGCCACACATAACATTCAAATGTACAAACATAAATATTAAAACATAGAATTTTTCTTCAATCTACCTCTTTCAGCTTAGTTTATAAATGCACATAGAAACAACAATTATGTATGTAGGTACATAGGTACATGTATATTTTTTTTCGCTTGGTACTAGAAAACTTGGTTGATAGACACCTATAAGAAATTATGTCCAAGTATGAGCTCTTAATTGTAACGGGAAGGTCCTTCGCCTTACAGTTTTCATATCTGACTTCCAAATACTTGAAAAATATCTCGTACCATAAATTTTGTAGGAAATTGAATGCTCTACTTCGAAGTTTTTTTCATATCAATTTAAGTATTGGAGTATTTGTAATTTTATATTCCTTTGAATACCATAAGCTGAAAAGAAAAAAATATTTAGAATGGCTTGTAAAAGACATTGCACCGTGTAGAGAGTCGATTGGTAAAATAATTGCGTGATGAAGAAAAAACGTACAGGTTCATTGCAAATATGTTAGGGCGGTCGGATTACCTTATAACTAATGCTCCAAAGCAAAAAAATGAAAAGGAAACTCGTGGTCGTCCAAGAAAAACTGTCCTAATTGATGATCGCCGTATACTTCTAATGGCAAAAAAGCACCCTTTTGTAACTTTACGGCGAATTGCAGCGAAAGTTGGACTAAATGTTAGCTGGCGAAAAATTCGACGTCGATTAGTGAACGATAAAAAATTCCAAAAGAGTTCACATTTAGAAGAAAACAGCTTTTGCCGCTGAACACAAAAATTGATGCGGTCTCACTGGAGAAAAAAAGTGGTGAATAATTTTATTCCGTGATGAAGTTAAGATTAATCTTTACGGAAATGATTGTAAAATAACTGTCCGCCGGCCTAAAGGTAAATAATTTTATTGCAGATACACCACAAAAACAATTGAGCACGGGGGCGGAAAAATAATGCTGAGGGGATAGTTATCCTGACAAGGCATTGGTGCTTTATTTTAGATTAAGAGTACAGAGAGATTTTGCAAAACGTTATGCTACCATATGCTAAAGAAACCATGCCGCTAAGATGGTGTTATCAACAAGATAACGACTCGAAACATATATCGGGATTGGTATCTGAGTGGTTCAGGGATGCAAATGTGAGCTGTATGCATTAGTGTAGTCGAACTGCTTGAGAACTTGTTTAGTGACCTTGAGAGAAGATTGGCAACCTTTTCATTTGAAAATAAGGAGCAATTGTGACAGGAGGCAAAGAAATTTTGTGATGCTACCCTATTGGAGACCTGACCAAAATTAATTTAATAATTACTAGGCGCCCTCCGCTGCGCTCCGGGACGCTCGCTTCGCTCGCTCGCCGACGTCCGCCCCCCGCCGAGCGCGAGCTAGCTCGCTCTTATGTTAGTTGATTCTCGACAGCAGCAGAAAACTTTTATATATAATATAATAGAGAGATATATAATAATTCCATGTCGAATAAAATTGGAAAACTTATAAAAAAACCACGGAGGATATACAGCTTATTAAAAACCCTTGGACCGAATAAAGGACATCTTGAATTTCTTGTTTTTATTTCGAAAAAATATATAAATTACTCCTATTACTTTGACCAATGGAATTTCTTATTTTGAAAAAAAAAAAATGTGGAAAACGGTTGGCCTCAAGGGCCATCCCTGCAACTTCCCGCTAATTTCATACGCTAACGTTCAAATTTCGCTTTTTTCACTGCTTTTGAGCTCTTCGAAATTTTTCGTTTTCAATATCTCGCAAGTAAATCAACAGATTTCGACCCGGTTTGCGGCAAACGATGTGTTTTTTCAAGGTTTAGAACTGATTAGTTTTTGGTGTTGATCGGTCAAGTCGTTTGGAAGAAATTCGATTTTTCAAAATTTGTATTTTTGAGATTTCTCAAAATCTACTGGTCTGATTGGGTCCAAACTCACACGAAATTCAAGTGCAATGAAACCCTTTGGAATGCCGTTTAGTTTATTCAAATCGGTTGAGCCGTTTAAAAGTTATAAGAGGTTTACATACATCCACACATACATACAGACATACGGACATCATCGTAGAAATGTTCGGGGAAGCTTCCTCGACCCTCAAAACGTCGAGATCTGTTGAGAACTCGATTTTTGCAAATTGGGGTGAAACCAATATCTTCCCGATTTTTAGAAAATTTTCAATTTTCTTCGCGGGAAGTTAAAACATTTTTAAAATAATAAAGTAAAGCATAAATATATACATATATACGCAATATGCATTGATGTTTGATGATGAATATCTCGTAAACGTTTAACTTAATCGAAAATTTATAAAAGACCCATTTGTAGAACAGTAAATTTCCTACAAGACTATGAGCTTTGCAATTTTAAATGATTTTTTTCATTGAGTAATAAAATCCAAAAGAAAAAAGAAATTTGCCTTGAAATAATCAAAGCTGAACCGTTAATATATTTTGAACGGTTAGGTTTACGAAAAAATCGCAATAAGACCATTTTAGTAGAGCATTCAATTTTCTAGAAAATCTATGAAGGGAAATAAGTTTTTAAATAATTGGAACCGAGATATGAATTTTTCTTTCTGATAGTAAGAAAATAAGAGAAAACTGTAAGGCGGAGGACCTTCCCGTTACAATTAAGAGCTCATACTTGGAGAGACTTTCTTAGAGTTGTCTATCAAACAATTTTTCAGAGTATCAACCGATAAAAGCATTCGATTTTTCTAACCCACCCTAATGTATTTACATACATATAT